AAGGCAGTCGCTTAACCAACTGAGCCACCCAGGCGCCCAGAACCTTGCATTATTCTTATAGTCCAAGAGACAGATGCTGCTCTCATTGGAGGATTTTTTTCTCTCAGTTTGGTTCAGCTCCTCTATGTACTTTTGCTATTATAAGTCTCATACAATGAAGGGGGGGGAAATCGGAGGGGGAGACGAACCATGAGAAACTATGGACTCTGGGAAACAAACTGAGGGTTCTAGAGGGGAGGGGGGTGGGGGGATGGGTTAGTCTGTGATGGGTATTAAAGAGGGCACGTACTGAATGGAGCACTGGGTGTTATACGCAAACAATGAATCATGGAACACTACATCAAAAACTAATGATGTATGGTGATTAACATAACATAATAAAATAAATAAGTTTCATACAAAGCAAGTGAACTCTAGAATTGGAGACCAAATTTAATCTACAACATTCTTGCTATTTAATGAGCCTGAGCAGGGAAGAACTCTTAGGATGTTTATATTTGTACTTATATTGTCACCTGTAATAATTGGTTTGAACTAACGTCACCTTAGCTATTAACTGAATATCTTCATGTGACAGTTCTAATCAAGATGTAGAATCATAGTGATGGTAATAAAATTACAAATAGGATCTTAATTTTTACCGTTAGCTATGCTTTTTACTTAAGAGAGACATATAAACATACAAGGATAGGCAGATATTAAGTCTGTTAATAGGCAAATGTAGACTCTATGTACAAACAGTATAATTTTAAGAAGTATATTTTATACAAGAAAGAAAAGTCAACTTTTTAGTGTGCATACACTGTAAGCAATTGATTCAACCCCTGTGCCTCCTCTCAAAGACTGTTTTCTGAAATTGGACCTCAGTGTTCAGTTTCAGGAAAAAAAAATTCAGAATGTAAAACATTTAAAAATATTTGTGAAAAACTCTTCATCTCTTGGAGGTTTGGCCATTTGTCCGTGCGGGGCATAGCAGATGCTATTAGATTCCATCTGTATTCTTTTGGCTCTGCACTAGGTCCTTATCATTTTGGTGTGTGCCTGCCCAATTTTCGACTATTGGCACCTGCATCTCGTTGTCTGAGGGCTTTTCTGGCCCTGGAAGCCTGCATAGGTAGGATAGGAATTGGTATCCTGGAATTGCTGGAGAACTCACCTTGCCCCCTCTCCCCAGCTCTCAACCAGTGAAATGATAGGAGTTAGTGTGTAACTACCATGCCTTGAGATGGGATAATCCTGAGTTGTATTTCTACACAGACCCTCAGAGTCCCCAGTGGGATTAAGCTCCAGTTAACCCACAGGAATAATTTCCTATTAGGGTTACTTCCCGAATAAATTATGCCTGTACTTGAATAGGGTCTGCTTTTGGAGGAATGTAAAGTAAAACACAGGGGCATATCCCTTTAAATGAATTCCATATGAAAACTTTAATTTTCCCTAAAGATAGATTTACAGGGCAATTTTTTGTTTTACAAAAGACTTCTATTATGAACTCCATTTATAAAGAGAATTCATTTAAATAAATCACATATTCATATTCATTAAGTGCACCGAAAATACCCATTTTTACACACAGCTTGTTAGAACTATGCTTGTGTAAAACAGCACAGTTTCATATCATAATCAACTTTTTTTTTTAAAGATTTTATTTATTTGACAGAGACAGCGAGAGAGGGAACACAAGCAGGGGGAGTGGGAGAGGGAGAAGCAGGCTTCCCGCTGAGCAGGGAGCTGGATGCGGGGCTCCATCCCAGGACCCCGGGATCATGACCTGAGCTGAAGGCAGACACTTAACGACTGAGCCACCCAGGCGCCCCATAATCAACATTTTACCCAAAGTAATTACTTTTGGGTGGTGAATTTTACGAAACCAAGTTTGGCTATTTAGCATTTTGTCTTGTTTGCTATATTTTAATGTTTAAACCACTCCCTCAAGTCCATTTACTGCAGTTTGAATGCTACCCATGTGGTAGGTAGGGAGACCATGTGCTTTATTGTCTAAACTAGGATATTGAAGATGGAAAGGTTGTGCTCTTACTTACACTGGGATAAAAGGCGAGAAGCAGCACATATGGTCATCCTGTGTATAGGTGACCATATTATTAATTCTTTGGTACAGATTTGTATTGATTAAGAATGAAATGTATTGGAAGATAGTACTTTTTCATTTAGTATCTCTGTTTTCGGAAATGACGTAGTAGCAATATTACTGATTGTTTCTAAGTGTTTATAAAATTCTAAGAGTTTCTGATTAAAAGATAAAAACAAAGCTTTGAACCAAAACATTGAAAGGCAATTCATTTATCTCTTCTTTAGGCTTGGTAAACTCATGGCCTTGTAACTTTTAACTTATAGGTTATATTTTCCTATTTCTAAGTTGTTTAGAAATAGGAAAAGTCTTAGTTGGATCCTTTCTAGCAAAAAGATTTTCCTTGGGCGCCTGGGTGGCTCAGTCAGTTAAGTGGCTGCCTTCGGCTCAGGTCATGATCCCAGGGTCCTGGGATGGAGTCCCACATTGGGCTCCCTGCTCAGTGGGGAGCCTGCTTCTCCCTCTCCCTCTACCCCTCCTCCTTGCTCATGTGTTCTTTCTCTCTCAAATAAATAAAATCTTAAAAAAAATTTTTTTCCTTATAGTTTTAAGACCTAAATGTGAAATTCTTAGCCTACTGTATGGCACATAGTGAGTACTCAATAATTAAGAATGAGAAAAATAAGGAAGGTGAAAATAGTGCCATAATTTACTTAGATGTAGCTTCAGGTTCAAATCTAGTCACAAGTCTTAAGTGTATTTTTCTTTTTTCTTTTTTTTGAAATAAAATATAAAGTAGCATTTCAAATATGCATGGGTTAGAGATACTAAAAGTAGGACATCAGTAATAAAGTAACTTATCTAGTTAAATCTACAACTTTTTCCCAAGCTTTATTTCTTGACTCTCCAGAAGCCCCCTCTTGGTGGACGTACATTTTTTTTGTGCCCAGTTCTTTTATGCAGCCCTGTCATCTGCTCCCTCATTATAGTGCAAGAATGGAACCTGCTTGGGGCCATTTATAGCTAATGGTTTGTCTAGGCATAATTATGAATGCTTGATTTTATTCAGACTTAAAAATTCAGTTCCTAATAGTACATTGGCAAGCATAGTTTTGATCTTCAAGAGATCCTCAAAGATAGGAACTGTCTTTGTCACTTCCTCAGAGATCGGAACTCTGTTCTGTTCATCTTTGAACTCCCAGTATCTGGCACATAGTAAATGAATGAATGAAGTGGACGTATTTTCTTCCTCCCCCTCTTTTCTTCCATTTCTTCCTGGACTGGCCATTCAATAAAATTCTAGTGTTGTACTATGAGAATGGAGAGTTTTATATTTATTCTAAATTAAAAAGCAAATTAAACTAAAAGAAAAAGCATCAAGGGACTGGAATGTGTCTTTATATTCTTACCAAAGAAAAGAAAATTATTTTACTTGCATGTACCTTTACCATTTTCGTCTTTGTTCATCTTTGTTATAGTTAGCCTTTGATAGAAATGTTTCTTACTACTCTTCTAGATAGTTTCATTGTGCTTTCCATATTTCTTCTTTTTTTTAAAGATTTTATTTATTTGACAGACCATATTTCTTTTTCTTTTTCAAATTTTCCTGGTTATGAAATCTAGAGAATTGACATATAGACATTACAAACTTAAGTAAGTATTTAGTAAAGGAATTAGGACAGCTTAGTAGGTAAGAAAATGTTTTATTTCTATGGAGAAAACTCTGTGTAGCTTTATTAGAATCATGGTATATTAGAAAAGGAGTAGCTTAACTGCCTTTATCCCCAATGTAATATACTGTAAATCTAGTTCTTCCTAATATGCCACCAGAATCACCCCCCCCCAACCAAACAAAACAAAAGCAGCTATCTACTTTGTTTTCTGCCAGGCCATTCCTTCATAACCTGACCCTTATTTGCTGACCAGGATATATGTTGGCTTAACAGTTGTTTCTGTGAAAGCGAACCATATCTTTTTAACCTGCTGATTAAAAAAAAGAGAGGGGAATTGTGTGTGTTTTCCCATCAAGGTGACATGGCAGTCCCAGAATTAGTCTTACGTGAAAATGTTGCGCAGCAGTTAGACTTCTCTGTAGTACCATTAAATTACTCAAGCATAAAAACATGCATGCACAAAATACCTATTTCTGCCAGGAAAATAATAAGCTTGTTAGCTGCATGTTAACGGTTTCCCCTTCTGTCACTTGGTATTGAGTTAAATCCTTCCCAGAAACCTCGATTGTCCTTGGCTATCAGTGCTTCAATTGTCCTTTTGGCCTTTGTACACTCCTCTAACTCTCCACCTGCCTATATACACACACACAAGTACTATTTCATTTTGAATGAATGGACAGCATCAGCATCAAACATGGCACTTCAGTGGTCCATCTGCAAATCACTGATACAAAACGACCCAGGTTTTTTCATTCAGTCCAACTTAGGCAGTGGTTTGGTCTTTGTCAGTAATGTTTTATTAATATTTTAGGCTTATTTCTCATTGAGAGTTTAAGTAATGGTGAATTAAAACATAGTTTAAATTTCTTTGGGTTTAATTTTTTTGTTATTGCTTTAGTCTTAGATTTTACTAATTCTGTAGCAGAAAATCAGAACTTCTGGATGGAAAAATGCAAATGCATTATAACTAAATTGTGCTGGATACAATCTTATAATAAATACTTAGATCAATTTTAGGATGCTTTGGTTTGTGATAATGAGGTTAAGAAAAGCATTGGCTTATAAAATTGACATTTAAAATTCATGAATGTTGCAGATGATTTGGAAGTTAGAAATATAGGTGAAATTTAAAAATGTTAGTTGGTAATACTGGCTATATTTAAGATCTACACTTGTTTAAAAAGTAAGGAAATAATTCACAACCGTGTACAAGTTAATTTTTTTCAAATTAGATGCTAAATTGTGACATCATAATCTTAACCTTTTTGCATTTTATTTATAGTTTTTTTTAATTTTAGTTTCAGTCTGATGGAAGCAAACAAGAAGATAAAGAGAAAACGGTAAGAGACTAGAAAAATCCGATGTGTCTGATTGGTCTGTGTACAGCATACTGTAAATTTTACTGTGAACAAGTTTTAATCACCTGTGTGAATATTTTGTACTCTACATGCTTAGTATAGCTTTTGACATATCTTTTAAGATTGACAACTCCTGTTTTTGAGGATTACCATGTTGAGAAAGGAAGAGGGATAATAAGAATCCTTCATTCTCTTGCTACCCCTTTCCTTACCTCACGTCATTGCTTCCTTAGATGGAGAAGCACAAATATCCACTGTGAAAAGGGCAGTGATAATGTGGGAAATTAGATGTGGTGTGGTATGAGATCAAGGAATGGCAGTTTTTCCAAGGCTGACATAAATTTATTTTGGGGGGGGGGTTTAATGTGGACCTTTTACTAAAATAATTTTTTCCTCCCTTCTTCTTAGGAAGTTATCCTTAGCTGTTTACTTAGCATTACTGACCAGGTACTTCTTCCATCTCTTTCTTTGATGGACTGCAATGCTTGTATGTCTGAGGAACTATGGGGAATGTTTAAAACATTTCCATATCAGCATAGGTAAATACATAATATTTTTGTATTTTTAACTACTATTCTAGTCATTAACCTCTAAGTGTTTAACTTTTCCTAATTCTTCATCTCATCGTTTTTTAAGATATCGTCTGTATGGCCAGTGGAAGAATGAAACTTATAACAGTCACCCACTTTTAGTAAAAGTTAAAGCCCAAACAATAGACAGAGCCAAATATATCATGAAGTAAGTTTTAATTTATTTTTCTTCATATTAACCTAAAGTATATCTGGATCTAATTTACTTTCTTCCAGCCAACTTATGTCTGAGCCTCAGTTCTGAGGAAGCCCAGGAGTATTTGCTTAATGGTATAGTCAGTTATGTACTGCAGATAGAATGACTATCAATTTTTGTGCTTTTTAGCTCATTTTGACTACCAAGTTAATTTTTGTAGTTGTCATGTTTGCATAGCTGTAGAATCTAATAATCCTCTTTAATGCATCATATTATAGGTGAGTTTTTTTTAAAGGACAGCCTACTATGGCCTTTGCTCAATTTGCATAATACATTTAATGGCTTATAAAAGGTGGTCAAAGTTCTTGAAATTTCCTCTGCCGAAAGTTATTATAATAAAGATTTTTCTTGGGGTGCCCGGGTGGCTCAGTCAGTTAAGCTTCTGACTCTTGGTTTTGGCTCAGTTTGTGATCTCATGGGTTGTGGATCCCGCCCTGCATTGGGCTCTGCGCTCAGTACAGAGTATGCTTGGGATTCTCTGCCTTTCCCTTTCCCTCTACCCCTTCCCCGTGCTTTCTCTGTCTCTCTCTCAAATAAATAAGATCTTTAAAAAAAAATATTTTTCTTTTTTGGAAGATCTAATGGAATTATGCAGAACTACCTCCTTGAGTCAACTTTTGAAAAATTTCTATTCATTTTTGTGCTTTATTTTCATGTTATTAAAAACATAAGAGTGATGTTATTTTACTTCTTGGTAAACTGAAATTTAATTATGAAAATTGTATACTTCAGATTAGAGTTGGTTTATATGCTAAATACACTGCTATATTACAAGTGTTTTCAGCAAGGCTATTGATTGTTGTTTCTTTTATGTTTGTGCAGTGGTATGGTTATTCTAATTAAAATAGTTCATTCTCTAGTTTAACTAGATTTAACAGTATGCAATGATACTGTCTGCCCAGTGATATTGTCCCTGGCCACAGTCTATTGGGGAAACAGGTGTGTGCACGATCACAATCTGGTTTAATAGTTGTTGTTATACAGTACATACATATGTATATATATATGTATGTATATGTGTGTGTGTGTGTGTGTATAAAATGTTCTTTGGGAGGATAGAGAAGAGAGTGAGTTATTTCACCCCTTGGAAGTTGGGGAAGGCATGAAAGGAGGTGATACTAGAATTGGTCATTCCAAAAGAGTTCCGGTCTTAAGAATTCCACAGGTAGTTTCTAGCTTAACAACAGCTAATATTTATGGAGCCATTAATATTTATGTGTGCCAGGCCCTGAACTAAGTGCTTTATATGGATTATTTAATAATACAGTTGACCCTTGAACAAACATGGGTTTGAACTATGCGGATTCACTTATATGTGGATTTCTTTCAATAAATGTATTGGAGGGGTGCCTGGGTGGCTCAGTCGTTAAGCGTCTGCCTTTGGCTCAGGTCATGATCCCAGGGTCCTGGGATCGAGCCCTGCATCAGGCTCCCTGCTCTGCGGGAAGCCTGCTTCTTCCTCTCCCAATCCCCCTGCTTGTGTTCCCTCTCTTGCTGTGTCTCTCTCTGTCAAATAAATAAAATCTTAAAAAAAAAAAGTATTGGAAAATTTTTTGGAGATTTGGAACAAATTTGACAAATCACATAACCTAGAAATATTGAAAAAAAATCAGGAAAAAGGTGTGTCATGAATGCATAAAATATATGTAGATACTAGTCTAGTTTATCATTTGCTATGATAAAATATACACCAATCTGTTCTAAAAAGTTAAAATTTACCAGAACTTACATGCACACTTACAGACTGTACAACGTGCTATTCGTAGTCAAGAGAGATGTAAACAAATGTAAAGATTTAGTGTTAAGTCATAACTGCATAAAAGTACCTGTAATACTTACTGTACTACTGAAATAATTTCGTAGCCACCCCCTGTTGCTATGCAGTGAGCTCAAGTGTTGCGAGTATCTGCTTAAAACACTGTGTGATGATGATCATCTCTGTGTGAGCAGTTCATCTTTCCAGTAAATTGTGTATTGCAGTAAAAAGTGATCTCTCACGGTTCTTAGGTATTTTTCGTGTTTATTGCGATACGGTAAGCCTTGCATAACACCCTGGGGCCCATACGAAGTACTTCTAGTGCTGCCAGAAGTGCTCCCAAGCAGAGAAAAGTCATATTACAAGAAAAAGTTGAATTGCTTTATATGTACCATAGCTTGAGGTCTGTAGATGCAGCTATCCGCCATTTCAAGATAAACGAATCCAGTGTAAGGACTGTTGTTTTTTTTTTTAAAGGAAATTCATGAAGTCATTGTTGCAGCTATACCAGCAGATGTGAAAACTTTGTACTTTTTGTGAAATACCTTTTTATCTTGTATTGAAAATGCAGCTGTTATGTGGGTGCAGGATATGAAATGTCTATTGATTTTAATCTAATGTAATTTGAGAAAATGCCAAATCATTATATGACAACTTAAAGCAAAAGGAAAGTGAAGGATCAGAAGCTGGAGAATTTAAGGCCAGCAGAGGATGGTTTGATAATTTTAGAGAGGTTTGGCTTAAAAAATGTCAAGGTGACAGGAGAAAGTTTATGCTGACCAAGAGGCAGAAAGTAGATGAGTTCCCAGATGCCATTAAGAAAATCATTGAGGAGGGTCACCTGGGTGGCTCAGATGGTTAAGCATCTGCCTTCGGCTCAGGTCTTGATCCCAGGGTCCTGGGATCGAGCCCCACATCGGGCTCCCTGCTCCGCGGGAACCCTGCTTTTCCTTCTCCCACTCCCCCTGCTTGTGTTCCCTCTCTTCACTGTGTCTCTCTCTGTCAAATAAATAGAATCTTAAAAAAAAAATCTTTGAGGAGAAGGGATATCTGCCTGAACAGGTTTTTAATGCAGACAAAAGTTGCCCTATTCTGGAAAATAAAGCCACAAAGGACATTTGTTAGTAAGGAAGGAAGAGCAAGCACCAGAAGTTAAGGTAGGAAGGGATACGCTGACTCTACTGTTGTGTGCAAATGCAGTCAAGTTTATGATCCACAATACCCTTATCTATAAAGCTGCTAACTCCTGCGCCTTGAAGGGAAATGATAAACACCAGGTGCCAAAAAACAAATTGACATTGGACAATCTGGAAGAAGGTTCTGATTATTCTAGACTGCTTTTTGACTTCTATTACGATATGGACCCTTCTATGATAATGGGCACTGAAACTAAAGCAAATGGTGGAAGAAGGTTAGGTACCGTATAGAAACATTTTTAAAGAAGTAGAAAAGGAAAAAAGTCAGACAAATTACCATGTACTTCCATAAAGTTACAGAGTGTGCCTGTCTCAATTGCCTTCCTTCCACTTCCTCTGCCTCTTCCACTCTGCCAGCCCCGAGACAAGACCAGCAACCATTCCTCTTCCTCCTCCTCCTCAGCCTTCTCAGTGTGAAGGCAATGAGAGTGAAGACCTTTATGATGATCCACTTTCACTTAATGAATAGTAAATAATCATCATGATAATACAGTTAATAAACTTGTCTGTTGTGTTTGTGTGTCTTTGTGTGAAAATCTAACCGTATGGCAAGAACTATAGGAGATGTTTTTGTGTCCTCCTTATCATCATCATGTAGGATATTGTGTTTAAGACTTGTATGGAAGTGGAGAGCCTATCCTTACATAGGCGTAAGGTGAATGATATTTAACAAAATTAATAATGTGTTTTCTTACTGTTTGATAACTTTGCTTTCGAAGATTTGTATTATTGTATGCCTTTCTTGTAATTGGACAAACTGCATTATCAGCCTATCACAGATAAGTGGTTTTTTAAAAAAAGTAACAGTATTTCCAGTACTGTATTATGAATATGACTGTAATGCCATATGCCTTAAAAATTTGATAATGATTCATTCATTAGCGTATAAGCTAGGCTACCATGAAGCAGTCGTATCAATTATACCAGGCTGCCATAAAGCAGTCATATTGTTGCTGCTTTGTTATCAGTGCATGAATCATTATACCTATAAATAAATATGAATTTCTTTTTCACATTATCTTTTCATTTTTGATGTCTAGTGTTAGTGATGCATATAATATCTACAGTGTTTTGCATCATATAATATTGGTGTAGGTATGTTCATCTTGTAAATAGACAATGTAAGCTTAACAGTATTGACAGAACTGTAAATGTATTTTCCTTTTGATTTTCTTAATAACATTTTCTTTAGCTTTATTTTAAGAATATAGTATATAATACATATACAGAATATGTGTTAATCGGCTGTTTATGTTATTAGGCTTCTTTCTGGTCAGTAGTAGGCTATTAGTTAAGGTTTTGGGGAGTCAGAAATCATACACAGATTTTCGACTGTGTAGGGGGTTGTTGCCCCTAATCTCTATGTTGTTCAAGGGTCAACTGTATATTAAATATTATCAGATCTCTTGAATCTGTCTTCTACTCTCTACTGCCACTAACTTATTTCTTTTATTATTGTGCCTTTATTCTTTATTCTTTCTTCAAGATCCTTTGGTGACTAACCATTGCCTGCAGGTTATGTGTCAGCCTTTATGGCATGGTGGTGTAAGACATCTTTCATGATCTGTCCCTCCCCATTTCCAACCTCTTTGCCTGCTAATTCTACCTCCAGCTGTGCTGAGCTCAGTTAAGTTTCCCTGAATGTGCTGTGGTCTCCTTTTTCTTTGCATCTGTGTTTCGTTTCTTCTGTTTGTACAGGTTTTCCCTTACCTCTTTTTCCTCTCTCCATCTGGTGACCTCATCATCCTTGGAGGGTGGGCTTCAATGTTAGCTCCTCACGAAGCCTTCTGTAACACATACTGCCAAGCACAAGCTACTGTTCTTTGTTTATGCCACCACTGTCCCATATGCATATGATGCTATCATACCACTTAGATACATTGCTATGATTATTTTTCTCTTATCTAATTATATAATCTTTGGAATAGTTTATACATTCACATGGCTTAAATTTCAATAAATATGAAGAGGTAGATAATAAAAAGTCTCTCATCTCATCCTCCATTCACTCAGGAGGTAAAAAAGGAAGCCACTGTTTAGTTTCTTATTTATCCTTCCAGAGATTTTTATGTATAACTAGGTGAATACAAATATATTATCCTCCCCCCTTGTACTATTGTTAGCATATAATAAATACTGTTCTGTAACTTGCTGGATTTAAGAAAGTAAAATTTAAAAAATAGGTCAAGTCGGTCTCCCCAGCTGGACTAAGCTTGAGAGCAGGAGCTATTATTCATCCTTGTATTCCGAGTGCTTAGCTCCTTGCCTGTTATAGAAGACGTTAATGTGAATGAATGAATTAATAAAAATATATATCACAGAAGAATATGTGTAGAAATTTTAATGTACTTGGATTTTTGTTGTATTTGTTAGCTGTAACTATTTCACCAGGTTTGAACAACATGATTTTGGTATTGATTAAACATTATATGTTGGGAATGGAGTATATTAATTTATTACTTACAGAATTTCACAAGTTTTGATTACTGTTTAAAAAATGAATTTGCTGTAAGGCATTCAGTAATTCATTCAACAGATGGTCATTGATTGTGTTCCATATGCCAGACACCATTATAGCTTGAGGGTAAGACATAATCAAGAAAGTACTCCTTTTATTTATTTATTTGGTTTTTCCCTCCAGAGTGGAGGCAGAAGGGAATGGGATAAAAGGTATAGAGAGGAAGGATCTGCTTTGGCAAGTAGGAGGACCACCTGAAATAGTAGGGTCAGAAGTAAGGACAGGTGGTAGTAAGTTTGAAGGTGGAACAGAGTGTAGCCAAAGTTTCAAACTTGATAGGTCTCTCTTTTCTGTGGGAGAAAAGGAAACTGGGCCTTGGGGAATGGGAAAGGGAAGCAGTTGATGATGAAATAATTTTGATTGATGGGTCAGTTTTGTCGTAAGAAACTTCTTAAGATAATTATCAAGTTTGTTACTTCCAGAATGGTCCCATTCCTTGAACTATCAACTGAATTCATTATTTGCTTCATCGTATTGTATCTTCATTCTAGAAAGCTTTTAGTCATCAGCTTTTTTAAGTTTCTAGATTTATTATGTAATAGAAGAGTTTAAGATGCTGTGTAATAATTTTGAGCTGTAAGCATTTCATAGATCTAAGTTTTCCAGAATGTTAGTAAAAGAATACTGAGCAGTGGAAGAATTAAAGAGGAAGGAAAGGAGTAGAATTGATTTTTTAAAAAATTATTTACACGAAAACCAGAGAACTTCCTTTATCAAGGAGTGCAGCATTAGCTATTACTCTGTTAGGGTAACTGAGACAGATGGTATGAGGTATTTGATTGCGTTACACTGAATTTGATGCCTACACTGATAAATGAGCGCTTCTAAATCTAAAATAATTATGATTTTCGGGACACCTGGGTGGCTTAGTCGGTTAAGCGTCTGCCTTCTGCTCAGGTCATGATCCCAGGGTCCTGGGATTGAGTCCCGCATTGGGCTCCTTGCTCAGCGGGGAGTCTGCTTCTCTGGTGCCGCTCCCCCTGCTTGTGCGTGTGCTCTCTCTGACAAATAAATAAAATCTTTAAAAAAATAATTATGATTTTCTTCAAAAGGAGTTTTATGTACTTGTAGAGTACATTAAGAGTTTTTGCTTATTAGACTATTAGTATAAAATGGAAATGTATACATTATAAATGTTAAGCATTAATTCAAAATCTTTTTTTTTTTATTCAAAATCTTAATACCCTTTGGGAGAATGCCTAATCAAAATAACTTAAGGCCTACAGTAATGTATATGAAGAATGTGGTTTTACATGGATCCATTTTGGATACTTGGGAAAGAATTGTTTTTTTGTTTGTTTTTTTATGATATAACAGTGCTATCAACATTGTAAGAGAAATGACTTAAGATGATCTCTGCCACCTTTTTCTCCCCTTGTAGGCGTCTAACCAAGGAAAATGTGAAGCCTTCTGGAAGACAAATTGGGAAGTTGAGCCACAGCAATCCAACCATTTTGTTTGATTATGTATGTTTTGAGGTTAATATTATTTTAAGGGATTTTTCTTTTTGTTGTCTTTAAATCAGCACAAGTGGAAATGGAATGATGAAGTTTTAAAAATGATAGTTTTAGAGGAAAAAATCTTTAGCAAATAAAACACTTATTCTAAAAACAGCATACAGTATATTTAACACATTGATCTCCTTTTTGGTCATATGTAACAATGCTGCTGTTAAGCAGTCTAACATTGTCTTATTTACCCCATGTTGGTTTATAAAAATATTAATAAAGGATACATTATTTATTGATTTTTGTTCTTAGAAACATTTGAATAGCATTTCATTGTGATTCAGGCATAATACTTTTATATTTAGAAAGAGATTTCTGAAAGACATTTGGCATTTATCATTCCAGAAGTCAAGTTATATGTCCTGGAATTATTTCCTAATTGGAGAATGTAGCCTAAGAAAATATTTCCTAAGAAATGATAGAATATAGTAGGTTTTATATAAATACAAAGTAGAAGGAAGCTACTTTAATTTTAAGCATTGTTTCTTTTGAAAAACAAAAAATGTATAGCCATTATTTAGCCCAGAAGTTCCCTTTTGATGAGTTAATGCCATCTATTTTTTGTTGCTATCTTCCAGATCTTGTCGCAAATACAGAAGTATGATAACTTAATAACACCTGTAGTAGATTCATTGAAATACCTCACTTCATTGAATTATGATGTTTTGGCCTGTATCCTTTCAAGTGAAGTAATACATAGATTTCACATTTCATAGATCTTAATGGTGAACGTTTATTTTCATTCTTTTTGTTTTTCTTTTTCATTCTAAGTTCCATTAGTAACCATATCAGGTTAATTCTGTTGGCTGATCTAAAAAAGGTTGGCCAGTCAGGAGTTTGTGTGTGTGTGTCTGCTTTGTGTATAGGGAGAGAACAATGTTAAGTTTACTAAACATGGTAATATAGGTGGAATCTGTCTTGCTTGCTGAAAGATGGAAAAGTTGGTACTACTGTGAGTATAATTTTCAATAATCTGTAGTAACTTGAAGCTGACAGTTTTATTTTTTCTAAGATGTGGCATTTTGTTATTGTTTTAAGGGTCTTTGTTAGAGATGTAGTGACTTAAATTTTTTCCTCAATGTGCGAAAGATTGTATCATTGAAGCTTTAGCTAATCCGGAAAAGGAGAGAATGAAACATGATGACACAACCATCTCAAGCTGGCTTCAGAGTAAGTATTTTTATTTTTCTAAGGATGAAATTTCCATCTGTTGTAATTGCCGTGTTAAGTATTCTATTGCTAATGCTAAGACCCTGTTTGTCAAGAGGTCTTGAGAATACCTAGCCACTCAGCTTGCTCTCAGTGTGTCTAAGTCTTTGGCTGTGTAAGGAGGTTCATGTAGTACTTATTCATTTACCAACTCAAGAGTCCAGTATTGGCTGTGATAGAATTTGTGCAGGCATTACTGGGGAGATAAAAATTCCCTTCTATTATTTTAGAGGAATCAATCTTAAGGGAACTCTTCTCCTCTCTCTCCTTTCCATCCTGAGGTTTCATTCATCTTAAAAGAACAAAAACTTGGTTGTTAACAGAAACCCTGCCTTGTTTTGTTCTAAATTTCTTGTGCTTTTGATTTCTAGCAGTGAGTTCCCTTTTCTTTCAACCTATTGTGTCTGATAGCTGAATCTTGTGGTAGCTCCCCATTGCCTTTTAAAGTCTGAAATCTGCATTAAGTCATACAAGTAAGTTCTTTTGGGATCAGGTCCTTACTTGGTGTATTAGGCTCATCTTTTGCCCCTCCCCATATCCTGGGTTCCATTAATACTGAACTTGTACTTTCCATGGCCTTTTTGTACATGTTATTGCCTCTACTTGGAATACCCTTCCATGTCTACTCATTTCCTTCACCACATCTACTTATTCACTAGATTTCAGCTTAGAGGTCACTTTTCTTCAGAAAACTTTCCCTGTTAATGCTCCTACCCAAAAGTCGGAATTAGGTGCTCCTCTCTGTGCTCCCATGGAACCTTTTATTCATCATAGTTATTTCAGCTTCCTTTTCTGTATCCCTCACTAGACTGTAAGCTCCTTGAGGGCAGGACCTGTGTCTTTTCCATTATCCTTTAAGGTGCTCAGCAAATAATTGTTGAAAAGGCTACAGATCACTTGATTTTACTAGGATCTCCTCATGACTGGGGTTTTCTCCTTACTCATGATGCGATAAGGACTATTGGTTAAAATTGGTCTCTTGTTTGCTTCTTGGTCTGTTTCCTTCCCTCTCCACAACTAGTAGCATGTTTCTAGATGAGAGATTTTTGTGTGTGTAACTCAAACATTAGAAAGGCAGGTGTTTTGTTGATCATTTAAATTTGCTGGGTGATCTGCAAGATTTTGTTGTAGCCTGGGTAATTGTTGTGGCCTAACAGGCTCTGGAGTCAGGCCGTATACCTTTGAATCACTGCTCTACCTCATACCAACTATGTGACATGAACAGGTTGCATGATATATCTCTTCCAAATTTTCCTCATCGATAGGTTTTATACCAACCTGAGATGATTATTGCAAAAATTAAATGAGTTAATTAACGTAAAGTGCTTACTTAGTATAGTGCTTAGTGTATGTATGCTCAATAAATATTAGCTATTATTAATTGTAAAACTACATTCAGTGGCATCAGCAGTACAATTATTCCTACCTCATTTTGTTTTAGAAATTGAGTTAGTTGAGAAATGCCACCTAATAATGTGTTTTTTTTTGTTTTATGAACTGTTTTTTAAAAGCCCTATTTTTTTATTTCATATAGGTCTGGCTAGTTTCTGTGGTGCAGTTTTTCGTAAATATCCAATTGATCTTGCTGGTCTTCTTCAATATGTGGCTAATCAGCTAAAGGCAGGCAAAAGGTATTCATAGCAAATTATATGTAAATGAAATTCAATAATTAGAATACTTCTGGTGGTATTGGGATATTGAGATTGCTATTTCTGAAAAAGTGTTTTGTAGGCTTAAGTAGAATAGTTGCTCACTTATTTATATGGAATTCTTTAAAAGAAATTGTAATTTCATACATAAACACTTTTTTGCAGAAAGAAATGTAATATTTGGCTATATATGTAACTCATTAAAAAGACATTTCATTTTGACTATCTGTTAGGCTCTTGAGTAAATGGTTTATATGGTATATTGTAAATCCTCTTATGACAAAACGCATTGCATTATTGATTGTGTTGCTGGACAGTAATTGGCCTTTAAGCATATGGTAGGAACATATTTATTTTGAGGGTATATACAGTATTTTTAAAACAATTTCTTTTGAATTTGAACTTCAGAGATACATACAGCTTACATACCTTTTGGACGGTGTTCTCTTTTCTTTATGAATACTGGGTTTTATTATTTTATTCTGGACCACTATCAGTGTTTAGAGTTTGAATTAGTATGTATATTAAACCTCATCAGCAGTAGACTGACTAGAATCGAAGAACTGGAAATTGTTCTCCAAAACTTTCTGGTAGAAAGTGAACAAAAATTTGTAAAGCTATCTGGTGTTCCACACAAGTATAACCTAAGTAATTTTTGACAAATTATTATTTTGGATTAGGGAAAACTTAAAAAAATAATTAGATTTAGGATTTTGTCAGCATATCACTTACACTATGTGCATCTTTCCACCATTCCTATACATTTTACTCTCCTGTGTCTATGGGCTAGGAGAATATAACATTATTTTTAAATCTATAAGTCAGTTTTCTGTACTCTGAATATAGTTTATAATTAAAAGATAGTTTAAGGAAAAATTAAAACATTTTATTGGTACTTGTTGCATACTAATTTGCATGAGGGCTCTCTTGTTTTCATAAACTACGTTTAGGGAAGGCAAGACAAGTTGAGAGAATAAGCACTTAATAAGAATCTTCAAAAACTGTGCCTTTTGTTTGTTATTAACTTGTGTCTTGGGTATGTCTAGCTTTACCTTTGGTTTCCAAACAAATACAAACATCTGTATTTGTTTTGTAGGAAAGAAGGTTTCCACTTTATCTTTACTACTTAACTAATTAAAGATCTTGAAAGTCGTAAGTTGTTATTTTCATTGACAGTCCTAAACTTTGAGAATTAAAATGCGTAACTATTGGCACAATAACAGATGTTCTTAAGGCTGTCATCTTAGGCTCATACACTTCCATTCCCTTCCTTTTTTTCTTTCTCCTGTCCCTCGCTCCCTCCATCCCTTCCAAGTGTGTGTGATTGTTTAGAGAGATGGCGCTATACCATCAAATATATGTATTGGCCACCTTGTACTGGAGGATAAAAGAAATGCTCTGAAGAAGTGAAGGGGATTAAGAGTTCATTTAAACCATGATGAGCACTGAATAATGTATGGAATTGTTGAATCACTATATCTTACATGACTAGAACTAATATAAACTATGTTAATTATACTTGAATTAAAAAATGAACATTTTAAAAATGTTATGAAGGACTGTTGGGCAAACTGATAAAAATGAAATATGAACTATAAAGTATTATCAGTGTTAGATTTACTAAAGTTGGTAACTGTGCTGTGGTTATGTTAAGAGAATGGCTATATTCTTAGGAAATGCACTCTTAGGAAATACATTCTTTGGAATTTTAGGGGTATAATGTGCCCTTAAAATGATGTTGCTTACTAAATAAGTTACCCCCAAATGGTTCAAAAAAATTGTGTGTGTTTGTGTGTGTGTGTGTGTGTGTGTGTGTGTGTAGAAAGGGAGGGAGAGAGAGAAAACAAATGATAAAATGAACAGGAGTAAGAATGTTAATAATAGGTGAAGTCGGGGTAAAGGGTATATGGGTATGCTTTGTACTAATTTTTATCTTTACATCCTATCTGTAAGTTTGAAATTATTCCCAAGGAAAAAGTTAAAATAAACATAAACCTATTACATGCCCCAAATATTTTTCACTATAGTTCTAGGAATGCAGTTTTTCCTTAAAAACCACTCCAGCCCCTTTTGCTCCATATTTATATACAAATAATTTAGGGATTCTCAGCATATTAATTATAATATATATTGTCACTTTTATGTTTGAAGTTTCAACTACAGACTATTTCTTATTTTTTCTAAATAGTTTTGACCTGCTTATATTGAAAGAAGTGGTACAAAAAATGGCAGGAATAGAAATTACAGAGGAAATGACGATGGAGCAACTAGAGGCCATGACTGGTGGAGAGCAACTAAAAGCTGAGGTGAGAGTTGCTAGTTTTTTTAATCGATTTTTTAAGTTCCAGATATATGCACGCTCATACTAAAGAATCCAGACAACACATAAGTACATGAAGCCAAATGTCAAAGCCATATGTACCCTTGCCATATGACTGCCCTCACCTCCCTTTCAAAAATTGATATACTAGTTACTTTAACCCTTTCAAAAAGCTGAAACAAAGTGTAAAAGACAGTGTCACATCTATAAGAGAAGTAAATATCAAGTCTTCTGTGGTCCTTGATATCCTAACTGGTGTAAATCTGAACATAGTTACTCTGTTGTTGAATCTGTTCCATACTGAATGAAGAATAATCCTTTATAAGGGACTGCAAGGTAGAAAATGGAAAATATGCAGCAGTTTAAAGACAATTGACAGTTATCTTTAAGCCAGTGACTCTAACCAACAACAGTGTCACTAAAATAAATGTGTGAAGAAAGGGAAGGAATGTAAAGGTTTTTTTTTTTTTTTATCTTCAGGATTGTAACAGCCTTTTCTATGTCTTTTTCAAATCAGAAAGCATGTGTTAATGTACTCTACACTGGTAAGTTTATGTCTTCTCTTGTGCAGGGTGGTTATTTTGGCCAGATTAGAAACACTAAAAAATCCTCCCAGAGATTAAAGGATGCGCTGTTGGACCATGATCTTGCTCTTCCTCTCTGTTTGCTTATGGCTCAGCAGAGGAATGGGGTAATCTTCCAAGAAGGTGGAGAGAAACATTTGAAACTTGTGGGAAAACTCTATGATCAGGCAAGTTACAGTGGCTTTTTTGTTTATATGGATTTTTTTATCCTGATAATGGAAAACATGGAATGTGATAAAATTTTTAAGATGTTATTTTGCACATCATATGAGTGTGAAACAACTCTAATGTAAAATAGACATTCTGGAAATAGGGGCTGTTTCTGTGCAAATTACGGTATTTAAGAGAAGGCTGTAGGAGATGTAATAATATGTACAAGGTTTTGAGTTAAGTAGTTAACTTCAGGTTGTTTGCTCTCATATCTTTCCTGATCTCTGGAACTCTGGAATTTCAGTCAGAACTAAGTAGATGTGATCTTTATAGAATATATCATAAATATTAAGCAGCAAAACCTGTGATTAGCCTACAAAATGTGTTTATCACCAACTATATTACAAGGGAAAAAAGATCACATATATTTTATAAATGAAGTTTTACTCTTTTAAGGGCAAGGAAATGCTGTATACATAAAATTGTTGTATGTGATGTAGGGTAAATATATCCTGTTACTAAAAGTGATGAACAGTGGCTTGGAACTTGAGACCTCGTTGACTATTAAAGCCTTAGATTGATCAACTTTTCAGGGCCTTGGCATCTTTTTTGGTAATATGATTACATGATGATGTTTATAGATTGTCTCTAAAGTTCTTTTAAGTTGTAAAATTTGAATTCTTAAATGTTAATCAAAATACTGTTAAAATGACATAATCATTTTGGAAAATTTTTATGTTTCATAAAATGGTAGCACATTTGTGTTTTTTGTCTTATTTTTTAAATTTAGTGTCATGATACCCTGGTACAGTTTGGTGGGTTTTTAGCATCTAATCTAAGCACAGAAGATTATATAAAGCGAGTGCCTTCAATTGATGTGCTCTGTAACGAATTTCATACACCCCATGATGCAGCATTTTTCCTGTCTAGGCCAATGTATGCACACCATATTTCGGTAAGTGTAAGTGTCTTTGCTGCCATTCAAGAATTATTCCAAATTATTTCTTAACTGTAAATGTATTTTAGTTTGACACAGATACAGATTATGTCTCTTGGAGAGTTAACTCTTTTGTTAATACTCATCTCTGAGCAGTGTACAATGAAAATGCTCCCTTTAAAAGTAAGTCTTACTAGTACTATACCACCAGTTGTCCAGGTTGATGTTTTATGGGCCCTTTAAAACTATAGCGCTCAAACATTAGTGTAGATGAGAGTCACCAGCGAAGCATCTTTGAAACTCAATCCTGTGTCCCCAGATTCTAATGGTAGTAACTTCAATAGCACCTGGGAATTTCTGTTTAGTTTTTGTTTTTGTTTGTTTTTTAACAAGTGCTAGTTGATTCTGATGCAGGAAAATCTGGTAGGTGATTCTGCGAAACACTCCTATTGAATACAGAGTCCTCTTTCCTCAGTAACAATATCCCTGTCAGTTGACTTGCTATTCATACTGCCTTGAGAGAAATACAGACAGAAAGACCTAACCACCTCCAACCACTCTAAAAACTCTTGTAGGTTGTGTTATGTAACTTCTCGGAAAGGTATTCATAGTTCTTGTTTTATTTCTCTCCACCTAAATGAGACAACTAAGAAGAAAAGCACAAAAGCAAACCAGAGCCTTCCCAAGCAGGGCATCCCAGCAGTGACTGTAAGGATGGTTGGGGGGAAGAGGAGACTGCCTTCCCTTCTCTTCTCTGCCGCCTGGACTCCTGCCTACAAAGCAGTGACCTCTAATGGGAATTGACTCTTCCTTTTCCTTCACCACGGTCAGGCCTCTGTTTGGAAACTATAGTACTTCTCCATTCTGACTGGAGCCCCCCAGCACATTCTTCATCTTTGTGTAGGCTTGAATTCTGGCCCTTCTGTTTATTTGTTGTTGGTTTTAAGTCTGTACTGTGTAAGGAAGGCTTTCACTACAGATTTTGGGGGAAGACCTTGGTCCTTTCTCTTAAAGTAGGATCCCTTCTTTGTTCCCAGTAGGAACATAGGGTTGTGTAGTGGAGGTGTGGAAAAAAGACGCTGAGAAATTTGGAGTCTAATTGATCATTTAATTGACCATCAGCTGTTAGTGTTTACATATCAACTGCTACCGTGTCACACTTCCCTCTAACAAGTAACTGTTAATTGATTCAGTTATCACTTGATTAGCATTACACAGCAATACTGTGCTACATTCTCCAGAATGGAAAAAGGGACAGGGGGTAGGATTAGGCCTCTTTTTTCCTCCTTTAGAATCTTTCACTCCAGAAAATGGTGTGCTCTTTTTGCATAGTTATGTCTTGTGTTGTCACCCCACCCCGCAGTAGATCAGTCTCAGGCTATACAACAGGGGACCTGATTTCTTGAAGGACTGAGGTGGGAGAGTTGCTTCATCTCAGGAATTCTGACTTGCCCTGTGTTACACTGAGAAGTTAACACACTAATCAGCGATATTGAACCCTAGCAAACAGGAACACCTGGTTGCCTGAGGTTGGCTGAACTTTTCCGGGTCAGAAATGGAGCAGGTCATTCATACCAAGAGCTACCTTTTCTGTAGCCTGTGTAAAATATTGTCTTTGTCATTTAAGAGATACAAAAATCTAAAAGAAATGTCATTTCCCCTCTCAGGGTTGCAGAGGAAAACAAAGAACTCTATAGAGGTGGCTATACAGCCAAATCAGGGATAAGTCTGTTACCAATAGGCCACATAACACCCTCGGGAAAAGGAGTTCTTTGGCAACCTTGGTTGCACTGGATGGACACCCAAACTTCCTGGGGATCCTTGCTTTTGCTTCTTGGATGAGAGCCTCTCTCTCTCTCTCTTTTTTTTTTTTTTTAAAGATTTTATTTATATATTTGACAGAGAGTTAGACAGAAGAGCACAAGCAGAGGGAATGGCAGAGGGAAAGGGAGAAGCAGGCTCTGCACTGAGCAGGGAGCCTGATGCGGGACTCAATCCCAGGACCCTGGGATCATGACCTGAGCCGAAGGCAGACGCTTAACCATCTGAGCCACCCAGGTGCCTGAGAGCCTCTCTTGAAGAGCCTTTGATGAGAGGGTATGAATATTGGAGGACTGCTAGGACCCTTCCATAAATTGATTACCAGTAGGCTCTCATGGGAATAATTCAGCCAGCCAAACACTGTTCAGGTTATTAGGGCAAGAAGAACTTTTTGAACAGGAATTAGAAGTATAGCAGTAACTGTGGATATCAGTTCTTTTTCATAGATTTAGTGCACTGAGTGACTTGAGATGTAGAACTGTTATGCCTCTCCATTTGACTGAAGGTGTAAGCTTCAAGAGGGAGTTAAACTTTAGACCAGGAACTATTCATCCTAGTTAAATATGAAGTATAGCTGTCTTTTCTGATCAAGCCTAATTTTTTTTAACTAGATAGGGACTAGGTGGGTACCTAGCAATAAAAGTGACAGATTCAGAACCTGAGAACTGGGGAGATGGCGGACTGTTGTACCACATCATTACCCTCTCATACCTATAAACCTAATTTTCAGTTCTAATTGTTGAGACCCACCTTGTAACACATTTCTGAAAGAAAGGCTTTCGCCCACCCAGTTCATATTCTAGATCTTGCCCAAATCAGGTAGTTAAGCTATCCTATACAGGTAGTTTCGGCACTGCTTACCCTATGTTTTGTTAGAACCTTAGCAGATGTCATTCTGCCTCACGGATTGATACTAGTTACCATCAACAGGACCTGCCCTCAAAGTGTAAAAATGCTTCCTTATCCTTGCTGTTATTCTCTCAGGTCTGTGATGTAATTGGGACTTCTCTCTCATAAGTAATATTGTTTGTAGTTTTGTCACCTGTGTGGTCTCATAATTATCAGCGTGCTCTCTAAAATGGGGGTAACAGAAGGTAAATCCACTTACAGAAAAATTGTAAGAGTCTCAGATTGTAATTATAATAATTGTAAGATGCTGCTTGAGATACCCTCTGGAACAAAATACTTGGTATATCTTCAGTCCAGTTAGCCCGGGGTATAGAGACACTTAGGAGGGAAGACAGCTGGAGTGTAAGGAGCCAAGACTCTTGCCTACCACAATGCAGAACTGGAAGTGGAACCTTTGACCTCTGACCTTCTAGTTTGGGGTTCCATGTTTAGCACAAACTGATGATTTAAATGCTTTTCTAACAAAAAGAAATGTTTTAATCTCCTCTTAGGTTCATATTCAGGGATGATGCCTAACCCAAACAAAATTTTCATCTTAAAGAGACTGAAGGACATGAGACAATAGCAACAACACTTTGTATTATTTTCTTTTTTACATTTGGTATTATGCTCTGTGAACTAATATGTAGTTCCCTCCCATTGTACTAACAGATTCTTTTCCTCATACTCTTATTAAAAGTATGGCCTTCCTCTGACTCTCATCCAAATTAGGATAAACCAGTCCAGTCTAAAAAAGCTGCAGTGTCAATTCCCACATGCTTTAAACTAATATACCATATCCATTTCATAGGAAGTCTTCCTTAGGGGCGCCTGGGTGGCTCAGTCCATTAAGCATCTGCCTTTAGTTCAGGTCATGATTCTAGCGTCCTGGAATTGAACCCTGTGTTGGACTCCCTGCTTGGTGGGGAATCTTTCTCCCTCTCCCTTTGCCCCTCCCACTGCCTTTGCTCTCTCTCATGCATGCTCACTCCCTCTCTCTGAAATAAGTAAACAAAATCTTAAAAATAAAGTCTTATTTAGGTTTGTTTGGGACTTCGCCAGTTTTGGCACTATACTCTTACATCCTGGGAATCCCCTCATTCACTGGCAAACCTGAACAGTTAGTGACCCTACTTAGCAGTCTTATAGTAACTTTCTCATAGCCTTTCTTTTTTTTTTTAAGATTTTATTTATTTGAGAGAGAGAATGAGAGATAGCACGAGAGGGAAGAGGGTCAGAGGGAGAAGCAGACTCCCTGCTGAGCAGGGAGCCCGATGTGGGACTCGATCCCGGGACTCTAGGATCATGACCTGAGCCGAAGGCAGTCGCTTAACCAACTGAGCCACCCAGGCGCCCTCTCATAGCCTTTCTTAATGTTGATCCAATTTCTTTCTCTTTTTTTTGTTTTTTTGAAGATTTTATTTTTAAGTAATTTCTATACCCATAGTGGGGCTGGAGCTCACAACCCTGAGATGAAAAGTTGCACATTCCACCGACTGAGCCAGCCAGGCGCCCCAGATCCACTTTCTTAATTGACAGATTGTAATGGCCAACAGAGGCTATGTGTAGTAATAAAGCATACTGTGCTGGTTGGCTGTTACCAGTTCCATTATGCTTCTTTACTAGTGTTAAGACCCTTTACTTGGTTCCCTTGAAGATCTTAAAAGCTGGAGTGGAAACCCTACATGTTCAATTCTTAATGTAGTAGTAACCGAGAGTACGGTGGAAGATACAGATGGTGGAGGGGGTACACATACCCTATTTACTTATGCAACAGGTGAGATTTAATAAGAATCTTCTTAAAAGCTCCTAGTGATCACACAGGACTAAAGATGTGAACAGCTTCCAGGGATGATTTATCTTAAAATAAATGTCATTGGTAAGAACTTAGAATTCCTACAACAGTTTTGATTGGTTGTCTTCTGATTCTTGAAAAGGGAACATAGGTTTTTATACTATGAAAGTTAGTGCTATAAATTGTGTTGTGTTTGTTTTTACTTTTTATCTCCAGTCTAAATATGATGAACTTAAAAAATCAGAAAAGGGAAGTAAACAGCAACATAAAGTTCACAAGTATATTACATCATGTGAAATGGTGATGGCTCCTGTCCATGAAGCAGTGGTCTCCTTACACGTTTCCAAAGTCTGGGATGACATCAGCCCTCAGTTCTATGCCACATTCTGGTCATTGACAATGTATGACCTTGCAGTTCCACACACCAGCTATGAACGGGAAGTCAACAAACTTAAAGTCCAGATGAAAGCAATTGATGACAATCAGGAAATGGTAGGTTTTTGTTCTAGTAGCTCAAGTACAATAATTTCATGGTAATAATTTAATATTACGCATGCTTTGTATTAGTTCAGGTTCCTTAAAGCTGTGATCTTATTGCTATATAGTATTTTCCTAAGTGAGTTAATGGTGACCTCCCAGTGTGTGGGGCAGGGGCTTGGTGAATACCTGGCAGTTATGATCACACAAAAGGTATTTGAGTTGTTTGTTTTTTTTTAAACTGAAGATTGTGTTAGCAATATAAAATGATCTGTGTGACTCCAGTTGCAAGAGCAATAGGAGTTCCCAAAAGGAGAACTCTTTAGGAGAAGACTTTATTGAAGAGGTGAGTCTTGAGCTGGGTAGGCTTTGAAGGTAGATTAGGTTTGGAAATAGGGAGGCAGATTGGCCACTCAAGAGCTTCAGCAAAGGTATGAAGTAATTTAAGATTTAAAGAGACCACTTTTACTGTAGTGAATGGGCTTAGTGATAAATTTGAATGGTTAGGATGGGATCAGATTATGTAGAGAAGTGAAAGTTAGTAAAGAAGACTTGATAAAATTGAGAGCTATATTAGATTCCTCAGCAGGGAAGTGATAATGGTAAAAATGGTACTTTAGAAAGATTACTCTTGACAGTGGTTTGAAGGATGCATTTCTTAGGGGAAGGGACTGGCATCAAGGCTGGAGTCCAGCTAGGTGGCTCTTAGGGTAATTCATTGTGAAGTACTGAGAACATAGACTATTGGTGGAGGTAGTGGGAATGCATGAGACTTGTAAGCAATCGGGATGCTGGAATGAAGGAGAAGGAAGAGTCAAAGATGACTTCATGCCTGAGACTAAAAGTATGAGTGCTAGGAAGGTAGCCTGTTTTGATGTGAAGACCAGATTTTGAATTTGTTGAATGGCGGTGAAAGCACATCCAGGTAGACTCCTCAATATCCCTGTGAAATGGTAAATATAAAATATCAGCACTGATCTCTTTTTGAATTTTTTAATTAAAAGGAAGGGAGGTAATGTGCATGTAGTTAGAAAAGTATCTAACTTATACTTCGTAGCCTCCAAATAAAAAGAAAAAAGAGAAAGAGCGTTGTACTGCCCTTCAGGACAAGCTTCTTGAAGAAGAAAAGAAACAGATGGAACATGTACAGCGAGTTCTACAGAGACTGAAACTGGAAAAGGACAACTGGCTTTTAGCAAGTAGGTTGTTGGAATTGTTATGTTCCTGCTACTGCCAAATTACAAAAGCAAACCTCTATAACTTCAGAGGTGTTGAAGTGTATTATGTTTGTATTTCAGCTCAGTGTTCACTATCCCATTCTTTGGTTATTCATAAATGCAGAGTCGACCTCACATGTTCACCAAAGGAACTGTTTTAGTTTGCTGGTGAAATTATAATTACAATATTGGCAGCTTATCATTCAACCTTTCTGTATGAAATCATGTTTCTGGAGAAGTTATAGATAGAAAAATGTCCACGTAGTGAAAGTGAAAGTTTTATCCCAGGCATGACCTTTTGGTTACAAACTATAAGGAGTTTGGGGTTTTTTTTTATAGCATTCTTTACACTAAAATTAATATGTTGTCATGTTTAGTGGTCTTGAGGCACTTGAGGAAGAAGTTTACCACTTAATATATTCTTCCCTTATTTTTAGAATCTACCAAAAATGAGACCATCACAAAATTTCTACAGCTGTGTATATTTCCTCGATGTATTTTTTCAGCAATTGATGCTGTTTACTGTGCTCGTTTTGTTGAATTGGTACATCAACAGAAAACTCCAAATTTTTCCACACTTCTTTGCTATGATCGAGTAAGTTCTTTTTATTGCAACCTTTAAAAAAAAAACTCACACAAAGATAGCTAAACATTATAATCTATAGAGGTATTATTGTGTGTGTGGTTAAAAGCATGAACTCAAGAGCCAAGTGCCTGAACTTGAATCCTAGCTCTGCTACTTTCTAGCTATACAATCTTTGGCAAGTTTTTTAACCTCTCTGTGCCTCAGTTTTCTTATCTGTAAAATGGGATAATAGTACTTGCTTCATAAGATTGTTGTGACAAATGAGTCACTGCACACGAAAGTGCTTTGAATAGTGCCTGACATGTAATAAGCACCCCTAGTTAATCTAGTAACTCATAGTATGGGTTTATATGTTTGTCATAATAGAACTCTTTTTCTTAACCTTCACCCCCTCAAAAAAACAACAAAACAGCTTACACCTTCACACATAAAAGCAGGGATGCTTTTCAGTATGGTTACATTTATGTATTTTTGCATCTGGCTTTTTTCTTAATAGTAAATACTGCATTTGTGGTTTTAAAATGTAGTATATGTCACAGCATGTCAGCTGCCTATTTCTAGTTTCTGTCAGCCTCGCCTCTGCTTACTGTCCCCCTAACCCCAGTAATATGTATGGCTAAGTCTTTGTTGAAGAAGTTATGTTATAATAATAATGATAGTTTTTTCCACTGTCATTGTAAATCAGTTTTTTTAAATAAAAGTTTGTTTTTGTTGCTTTATGAATGAGCTGTTTCCCCACAAAGGCCAAAATCTTTAAAGGTTTCTGGAATTGTGACTATAAAAGGGGAAGATACATTTTGACTAAACTAACCAGTTTATTTGCTATAAAAACCTTTTACTATTTTGAACTAATTTTGACCTTGATTTGTTTTTATTTTTCAAACATTTTTCCTGTAGGTTTTCTCTGATATAATTTACACAGTTGCAAGCTGTACTGAAAATGAAGCTAGTCGGTATGGGAGATTTCTTTGCTGCATGTTAGAGACTGTGACCCGGTGGCACAGTGACAGAGCCACATATGAAAAGGTATGGCTAATAAACACCCTTACATTTTACCCATGTATCTAACAGCAGCTTTCAGTAATCTTTAGGTTCAGTTCTGAAAGGGAAGCTGAGTTTAAGATTCAGTTGTAAAACCGTGTTTAAAGTTTAAACATCATTCATTCATTATTAAAAAGTGCTTTTTAAAAAAATCTATCTCAAACTGACATTCCAAATTCCTACCACTGAATAAGTTGAACCTTTCTGTGAAAACTACCTGTCATTCAAATACACATCTTGTTTTTGCGTGGAATCATTAATCTAGTCCACTTAAGTTTTCAGCTTCTGCTATTTTAGAGGCAGAATTTTTCTTTAACGACCTTTTTTTTTTTTCCCAAGGAATGTGGAAATTATCCAGGATTCCTTACTATATTACGGGCCACTGGATTTGATGGTGGAAATAAAGCTGACCAATTAGACTATGAAAATTTTCGACATGTTGTACATAAATGGCATTACAAACTAACCAAGGTAAAAAAAAGTTACATTTCTCAAAGGTGGTTTTTCTCTTTATACTTATACTTTTGTAATAATAGATCTTAAAATGTTTGTTGTAGGCATCCGTACATTGCCTTGAAACAGGCGAATATACTCACATCAGGAATATCTTGATTGTGCTAACAAAAATACTTCCTTGGTACCCAAAAGTTTTGAATTTGGGTCAGGCTTTGGAAAGAAGAGTGCATAAAATCTGCCAAGAAGAAAAAGAGAAGAGGCCAGATCTATATGCATTGGCTATGGGGTAACACAATTATACTTTAATGTGACTTATGAGACTAGATGACAGAAGGATTCTGAAGACTTTAAAATGTTTTACAGTGTTGAAGTTTATCTTCTGCCTTACTTCAGGAGATTATGGGAGATTATGCGATCATGTTCCCACAGGCTGGTGAGAGTTGTCACTTCTGATTATCAGCTTCCGGTCTATACTGGATGATAGTTTCAAAAGTCATATACAATATGTCTTGGTTTGGAGGAAATGTAATTTTATTATCGTCAGTTGAGTTTTGGATCTTCAGTAGTGAGAAAAAGGCATCTTAGTTTAAGGATTAGTTTACATTGAAATTTTTATTTTTTAAGAAAGCATCTGGGGCTCTCTATAAAGACCTTCAGGAACTTATTGAAAATTAGTATTTTTTATTCTTTGAAACCAAGTAGCAGAGTGAATAATTTGCTAATTTTATTCTTTTAAACTCCATGTTTGTGCTTTTGATTTGTATTTGTATATTTAAACACTTTGTGCGACTTTCAGCTACTCTGGGCAGTTGAAAAGTAGAAAGTCATACATGATACCTGAAAATGAGTTTCATCACAAAGACCCCCCTCCGAGGAATGCAGTTGCCAGTGTACAAAATGGGCCTGGTGGTGGGCCTTCTTCATCGTCGATAGGAAGCGCATCTAAGTCGGATGAAAGCAGTACTGAGGAGACTGGTATGCTTATTTGTAGAAATTTATAAGTAATACATTTTGTTTCAACAAACTAAGCTGTTTTATATCACATGACAAATAAAATGTTGGCTTAGTATTAGAGTTTATTCCTTAGGTAGGAGTATGTAACTGTCAAGAAGAAATTAGCCCTTTGTTTCTTTCTAATTAATCTCTAATCATTTTGCTGTGAAATTATAGTTTATTTACAATTAGGGGCTTGTCAAATAAAACCTTACCTTTATTTCAGATAAATCAAGGGAGAGATCTCAGTGTGGTGTGAAAGCTGTTAATAAAGCTTCTAGTGCCACACCGAAAGGGAATTCAAGCAATGGAAACAGTAGCTCTAACAGGTAGGAACACTGGCTATATGTCAGAATTCTAAATTCTTATATGATTAACCTCATTAGACATGAATGGAACAGGGTGGTAGTTGAATACTATGAAAGTCATTTATGTTGGACCTTGAAATTTTGTGTGTACCCCTAATTGGTGATGCGCTTAACTGTCCTCATTATGTTTTATATAATGCTGAGACTGACATTGTTTCCCCTGCTGAGTTATGCAGATGAAGGTAGGTGGTGAAGTTAGAAAAACATTTTAGGATTGAGTGCTTGCTGTGGGCATTCTGGGTAAGGATAATGAACATAAAAGAAGCCTACACTGATTTAGATCAGTGATCCATCCAGCCAAGTAATCCAGTTCCTGATAATAGCACCCTTGATCGGCTTGTGGGATAATTTTTGGTTGTGACCTTGTAATCCTCAGAGGTTATGAACATATACAAAGAACGGCCTGACATCACTTTAGTCATTCTTTTTTAATCTGCTGTTCATGAATTTGGTCGTTTATTATTTAATGAATAAAGAAGTACTTCCTTTTTACTTTAAGGTCTTTTAGTTTTCAAAGGGCTACTCTTGTATTTTTGAAGTCAGTAAGAAACCCTTTAGGATTTATAATATGGAATATGTTTTATGACTGTTTGTCTTAAGATCTTGTGTTTTTATTCTTAAGCAGCAAAGCTGTTAAAGAAAATGACAAAGAAAAAGGGAAAGAAAAAGAAAAAGAGAAAAAAGAAAAGACTCCAGCTACTACTCCAGAGGCCAGGATACTTGGTAAAGATGGTAAAGAAAAACCGAAGGAAGAGCGGCCAAATAAAGATGAAAAAGCAAGAGAGACGAAGGAAAGAACACCCAAGTCAGACAAAGAGAAAGAAAAATTCAAGAAGGAAGAAAAAGCTAAAGATGAGAAATTCAAAACCACTGTTGCCAACGTAGAATCAAAATCGACTCAAGAAAAGGAAAGAGAGAAGGAGCCATCCAGAGAAAGAGATATAGCAAAGGAAATGAAATCAAAGGAAAATGTTAAAGGAGGAGAAAAAACACCAGTTTCTGGGTCCTTGAAGTCACCTGTTCCCCGATCAGATGTTGCAGAGCCTGAAAGGGGCAAGTTCGCCTTTCTTTATATATGGTTTACTTTCGGTTCTTGTTAATGTATAGTTGGTTCTTGTTTCCTTGTTTCGGCAAGTTATCTAGGGACTTTACTTGTGGGGGAAGCGAATACTTGATGACCTTAAAGGTGATTTTAAAAGTGACCTTAAAAGTGGTGATTTTTTAAGTGTTTGGAAAAAGTAGAAATCTATCTTACTGTGACCTTTTCTTTTTGTCCCAACAGAACAAAAACGCCGCAAAATTGATACCCACCCTTCTCCATCACATTCCTCAACAGTAAAGGTTAGTATAGCCTGAGGAAGGCAGCGTCCATGTTAGGCTCACCTGGTTGGAATACGTGTCCTGACTTCCTTCAAGTCTTGTGCCAAGTATTCACTGGAGCCACTGGAGGTTTTATATTGCATTAGAAAATGAATTTTTTACATATTGGTGGACTGATATTTTTTTCCTATTGAGTATTTTTATTATAAAAATATTAAAACTTCAAGGACCTAGCACTAATTTTGTAGTGTTTCAAAGTGCAAGAAAAATTTTACCCAGAAGTGCCTCACTGCTTTAAGCAGTCTTTTTTGGAGTGCAATGGTAGCTACAAGCAAATGAATCTTTTCAGCAGAATGAAGCCTATTTTTCAGCATAAATATTGAAGAATATATAGCCCTGAAGACTTCCTGGATGATACAGGATAAACAAGATACCTCTGAATTCATCAAGCTTCTTGATGAGCATCATACCGATGTGTGCCTTCTAAGAAGGAGTCTTGAAAGGAGTTCCATTTTAAAGTCTCCTTGGTGATCAGTTCTCCTGTAGTTATGTATATTCAGTGAGCATGCAGCTTCTGTTGTATCTTCCCTTGGAGGTTTGTTTATACCCATTGGGTTCCCAACAAGTTGAACCTTGCGTTACGATAAAAGCAGATGTGGCATCCAATCCTACCACCCAGCAAAGAGAAACCCCAGGCATTCAACTGCAGCACAAAATCGTGGGTGTAGCCTTCTTGAAGACTCAGGGTAGCCATTCCTTGCTCCATATTTAATTTTAATTCTAAAGTCATCTAATTTCATGGAATCTTTGAATTTGCAGTACGTTGAACTTTTAAAACTGTAAGTTAACTAATTCTTCATCAAGAGCACTGTGGTGGAATACCGTAATTGATTTCTTTTTCTTTCTTTTTTTTTAAGTGCTTTTTTTGTGGGAGGTATGAGATTCACCATCAGAGGCACTTTGCAAAAAAGTGACTATTGTAGAGAATACATTTTGTTTTCTTGTTAATATAATGCCACTGAGTTTTTTGGCTAGGATTAAGAATGTCTGTATTTATGGTAGAGTCATAAGTGAAGTAAAATTTGAAACCTCCCAATTAAAGAACAGCTATGAAAATGTAAGATAATGTTCTTCCACAGTGACCTCCACTGTTTTAAACCTTTTGTGGAGGGAAAAAAGTGTTTTGCTTTCTTGAGCCTCTTAACATTACTTATAGTTTACGTACAGTGTTATGAAAAATGTGGCATTGACATTTATTTTTAAATTATGAACAAAGATTTTTATTTGTTACATTGAGCACATATAATTTAGTTTTTTTAACATTACAATTCCATTACATGGTTTTGCTTTTGTTTTTTATTGTTGATATTCATATAATAATTGACATCACAAGATTTATCCTCACAAGAAGTAGCTGGTTTATTTCCAGGTTACAGCCATACTTCCCAAAGTTCCTCTGGGTTCTGAGAACTATGCCAGCTCACCTGTCATCTCCATTCATTTTCTACAGGACAGTCTCATCGAACTCAAGGAGTCTTCAGCAAAGGTTTGAGTCTTTTAAAATCATCATGCCTAAGTAAAACAAAAAAATTCTTCATTTATTTAGTAGATACTTTCACCCTAGTAAATTCAATAAGCTAGTGAATAACCTTTAAAAATACCTATCACAAACTGAAACAATGGATGACAACGGTCCCTTTTAATGAGATTGTTATCAAATGCGTGTAATGTGGCAACATTTCTATAATCTCTCTTTGCTTGCTGTGTTATGCATTATCCTTTTATGCTTCAAAATCTGGAAATAAGTTTAAGGTTTGGGGAAGGGGTTGTTGGTTTGTTTTGGGGAGTAAGCTTATTTAATTTCTCAAAACAAATCCGTTAGGTTGTTTTCTGACTTTTTTAGACAACCCAAAAGACCAGAAAAGAAATTTGATGCATTCACGTACTTCTCTAAAAACTGAGCCCATCTCAATCCATAAAACTCTATTGCCTCTGCTGAGCTACCTTTTTGGTAGTTGTAGCATAATTATCAAGAAATCTGGTTAATGTCAACTAATCATTCTCTTGGAGGGGAATACTCAACTTGATGGTCGTGTTTACATGTCAGTATTAATTCTTGCCTATTACTCTACTTTCTTGAGTATTCTTCTACTAAAAATGTGCAGTTTGTGTATCTTATTACAGAGTTCACTTCATTATTGTAGTTGAATTGTCCATTGTTCATGTTATTTTGTCTACTTATTATAAAATTTGTACCCTCTTTCACTTTGATTTTCTACTTTGCCTCCTCTTATATCTGCTAAGTATTATCTCTTACTGGTGGACCAATACAAAATGAAATTTTGAAACAAAGCCAGTTAACATTACTAACTGCTTTTAGATCTGTAGCTTTATAATGAAATGTCTGTGGATATTGGGCAATAAGCACTAATTTTTTAATAGTTTAGGTTAGCCAATATGCCTTTGTCCTGAAATTGTAGCATTGTTTTTAGAGTATACTGTATTAATCAAAAGAATATTAGCTGTACTGTGTGAATGCTTTCTTTTAAGGTAAAACTTTTTATTGGCTAAAATATGTATTGCAATACAGTTGGTTTTCATAACCAGTTTGGGATTGTGTATGTCAGTCTTAACCATCAGTGGCTTGTGTGGGCTATTTTAAATTCATGGGTTAACAATGTTACCTTGTGAGTATTTATTTCCTGAAACATACTTTGAAGCAGTTTGAAACCTGCTGTTATAGTTAACTGGAATTTCTCATCAATGATGAAAATTATGGTTCCTTAAATTTGTGAAAGCCTTTTGAAAATAAAACGTTGAGATAAACATGTTATCTCATTTCATGCTCATAACAGTGCTGTGAGGTAGTTAGGGCAGGAGGGTAGTGTCTTTTGGACAAATAAGAGACTGAAAAAGTTCTTGATCTTTTCCCAGTGGCATATAACTTGTTAGTAGTACCAAAACTTGGACTAAAATTAAGGTTCCTCAAGTATTCTTACCACAATGAAAAAAAAATTGCAAAAAAAATATATGGTCCCTTGATTCTTTGCACCCATTTCAGCAGTAGTCAAAATGGGTTCCTAACTCCTGTAGTGTGTTTGCCTTGTTTTTAAAATTATAGTGCTTTAAGTCAGTCTCCCTATCCCCCTTTGAAAAAAGATAGTGATTTTCTGGATATTTAAAATTCAATAGATTTATTCCACATTCAACCAGAAATTTTTGAAAATGGCATCTGAATGCACTTGTAAAAATCGTGTGACTCATACCACTTTTCAGATCCTTAGTGCTCAGTATGGTTAACTTGGTGATATGATTAGGTGTTCAATAACTATTTGAAATGAACTCTTATGCCTTTGGACTTTGGTAAAGCATCCACAGATTACTGGTCTGCATTTTTATATGTCTAGGAAAGTTCAATAGCATATGAATGTCTTACAAAAAAAACCCCCCCAAAAAACGTTCCCGGACTTTGATCTTTAAAATTGACGATCTATATCAACTCACTGTTTCTGGGGTAGCTTTTACTTTTTAGAGGATTTGAATGATGTGTGTATATTTTTCGTGTTCTCTTGTCAGTTGTACATATAAAATTGTTTCTGTGCTTTTTTTAGTTATGCTTTTTCCCTGGGATCCTCTTTTTTATTAAATTACTTAACTATTTTCACCTTCTAATCCATGGTAAAAGTAATACATGGATTTAGCTTTTCAAGTGGAATTTGTTAAAGGGAGAAAAATCTAGCTTAGTATCCAAATTGTTTCTGTTTACCTTCCACCCCCAACTTCCAATTGGCATATTTCCAGTTTGGTCACTTGTGTTTTCACCTAGCAAACCTGGCAGCTACATTTGATGAAAGTGTGAAAAGCATTTTCTTTACCCAAGCTTCTCTGTAATTGAGGAGGGCAGCAGTGACCACTCAAAACAGAATTCAGGTTTTAATTCTGTTCATCGTCTTAAAACAAGGATTTATAATCAAAGGGAAGCCTACAAGTGAGGCCATCTTTATATATGGTAGCCTTGATAAAGTCAGTGTAGCAGTGTTAACAGATTTTGAAAATCAGTCATGTTTTTTGGACCTGTTGATCCCAATGTAAAGAATAAAAGCAAATGAAAAGCAAAATCCATCAACACTATATGCAGATCAATTTAACAAATCATTCATTTTGTTTGGCAAACATGTATTTAGTACTTGGTTGTGTACAAGGCAGTAGGAAATGTGTAAAAGTAGAAAAGACACATTAGCTTCCCTGCCGTACTGGAAACTGTTATGGACAAGAATAAGTGACATGAAATTAATAGGGAATACCTTTCACAGGAAAAGGTTAATATATAATAACAGGAATTCACTGGAAAGTGAGTTGCAGAGTTGAGGGACGATTGAAGTGCTGATGGCTTTTGAGCTGTCTTTGAAGGCTAGTAGGATTTTAAGAGATTAAGATAAAGTGAGCTACCATTCTGGTGAAGAGAACTGCTGGGAAGGACAGGGTGTTAGGGAGCCAGTGGTAGCCAAAGCATAGAGTGCATTGGGTTGCCCCATAGTAGGATATAATTGTGCAAAGATTGTGAAGAGCTTGGAAGTATGAAGGAGTATGCATTTTATTCCGTAGACAGTGAGAGACTGCATCCTACTATGGAAAAGAGTATTGTGATCAGAACTATTTTTAGAAGGGTAGGAAGAATGAATAGAATTAGGTAGGTACATTTCTAAAGTAAGAATATATAGGTTTCTCAGGTCCTTGCAATACAGAATTCAAGTTAGGCACAATTAAAAACTTCATTCTTGAGGAGTGTGTGTATGCGTGTGTGTGTGTACATGCGTGTGCTTGTGTGTACTTACTTGTAATCACAACCCCCCCGTTTTTTCTTTTATCAGGAGAATTAAGCAATACTTCCCTTAGAGAAATCTTCTTTGAGTATTGCAGGAATATATTATTTCTTTTGTCTTACCATTTTCATAAGTAATATTAACTCAAGATACGAATAAACCTCACAATTAGAAAATCTTGAAGTGTTGTATAGGGCATTAACCCAGCAAGAGTACCATTCGGACAAGCACTTTTATGACTGTTTCTCATTCTCTTGCTCTTTGTTATTAATAAAATTTTGTCTATTTCAGTTGATCATCAACTTTTAAACATTGACATTTTAAAGAATCTACTTCTGCATTGCTAATGGCAGTATTTCTGAGCCAACTGAATTGAAAATATTTGGTGGTGTTAAAAAAGTGTTTCTTTAATTTTCAAACTGATGGTCTTTTTTTGATGTATTCCTTTGACTACAAAGGATTTCCTCATGTAAAACTATTTGACTTTTGACTCACTATTGTTTTCATTCCTAAGGTATATCTAGGATTGTGTAGTTATGTAATGAGTTATATTTCATATTCTGCCTAATACTTGTAATGTCTTAAATTGAACATAAGCTTGTAGCACAGTTATAAATGCTGTAAGGATAGGTGTCTGATTACTTCCTTAATGTTTTCTTTTATACTAGATTTCCGTATTTACAACTTGCATAAGTTATTAAGGTTGTCTCTTAATTATTTAGGTAGCACATCCTTGATCTTTGGCTGTTTATTGCCTGTGGGCCTTTTGAAACAACAGGCAGACATCAGTTCATCATTTTTCAGTCTCTGAGTTTTTTTTTATCATCCTCAGCTGACCAAATGGTTTTCTGAGCTATTTAGAACCAGTGAGACAAATTTCACAGTCCGTTGTGATTATTTGGTAGAAATTGGAGTGCTTTCAGAAGTAGAGGATATGCAGCCTTTACATTTATAAAAATAATTTAGGGTAATGTATGCATGGTATATGCTGAGGCAGAAAAGACTTATTAGTAAAATCATGGCTAGGTTTCATTTTATACTTTGGCTCACTTGCCTTGTAAGTGGATGGTAAAACTAAAATTTCTGTGATTGTGTAGAGGTTTGTATCTTTTTTTTTTTCTTCTTACAGTAGAGAAAGTCAGTCATTATTTCTCACATGGACTCCTGTAGTGGTGGTTATAGATCTTCACAATGGAGTTATAAAAGGAACTGTAGTTTATAGATTTACTCATGAGTCTCAGTTAAGACAGGAATGAACTGATTGAGTTTAAATGAAAATTTTTGTAAGGCCAAGAATTGAAGTCTTTGCATAATTTGTGCCATGCTCTCGTATTTCACCTCTTGTAATCCAGACAGCTGACCAGTTTTGACTTTGGGTCTAACTACCAATTGTCTTTCATTAAATAAACAATCAAGCAGATGATGCCGATACTGGAAAACTAATAATCTTTAGTAATATTGCCTTAATTTAACAGCTCTACATTAATCATACTCCTCCACCACTGTCCAAGAGTAAGGAGAGAGAAATGGACAAGAAAGACTTGGACAAGTCGAGGGAAAGATCCAGAGAAAGAGAGAAAAAAGATGAAAAGGACAGGAAAGAGCGGAAAAGGGTTTGTAATTTTTTAAAAACTAGTTTGGAAAGCCATTATATTATGTATGGTAGTGTGTTTGTTGCCTTTTTTAAAGTACTAGTTTGTTGCATGGCAGGCTGTTATTTGGTGTTTTAACCGGTATTTTCACCCTAAAATGTGTTTGAATTGAATCTTCTACAGTAATAAGGATCTTCAGCCTAACAATCTACCAGCTCTGCTTGTCTTCCATGTCATTTTACAATGTAAAACGACTGCCAATAGTCTCCAATGCTAGTTAGCTGTGCCCTTGTATAAAAGTAATATTTTAAAACAAAAACATAAACTCTTGATCAATGTAGTTCACAATTCTTGGTTCTAGGATCATTCAAACAATGACCGTGAAGTGCCGCCGGACTTAGCCAAGAGGCGAAAAGAGGAAAATGGAACAAGTAGGTAGATTTATTAACGCTTTTGAAGCTGTTGTCAAACTGAACTGGAAGAGGCTTTCATGATTCTCTTTTATACTTTTAGTGGGGGTTTCAAAACACAAAAGTGAAAGTCCGTGTGAGTCTCCTTATCCAAATGAGAAAGACAAGGAAAAAAATAAGTCAAAATCTTCAGGCAAAGAAAAAGGCGATTCTTTTAAATCTGAAAAGATGGATAAAATCTCCTCTGGTGGCAAAAAGGTAAATTAGGGAAACAAAGGAACAAAAGGCTTTTTCTTGAAAAATTGACTCTGAGTATTTAGCAAATACTGAGTTTTTTTGGTAATCAAATAGTCTTTGGTTACTTATTTGAGGGTGGGAAGGGGAGGCAGTGGGGGAGGGCGGGTTATCTGGGGGGAATTCCAGCCAGTTGGGTGCCAAATTATGGGAAGAGTAGTATTAGTTTACCTCTGAAATTCCTTTTCTCTCCATTCCACCCCCACCTACTTCTATTCATTGAGCTTTACCCTTTACCCTTTCTTTTTGTGTTTTCTTTTATTCCTCCTCGCCAACAGTGTTTTTGGTTTCTTTACATTCATGAGATTAAAATATGGTCATGTGTATTCTTTCTCCCTGATCATTACATTGTCATAAAGTCTTTATTAACTGTAATTTTTAAACATTTTTATAACATTTTCTCCTAATAAACTTACATGTTTGCAACTTGTATTTGATTTTCAAACTAAGTATAATGTGCATTTTCTTAGATACTCATGGATGATATTTATAATACATTTCATGCATCTGCCATAAAGTAGGCAAATCATTACTAAGGTGTAAAGTGTTTCAAAAGCATTATTATGGTACATATAGTTCTTAAAAGCAGTTTTGGAAAATTGTAAGGTAATCGTTTTAAAATTTCTCTGTGCTTTGGGGTGCTTGGGTGGCTCAGTCAGTTAAGCTTCTGGCTCTTGATCTCGGGGTCATGAGTTCAAGCCCTGCGTTGGGCTCCATGCTGGGTGTGGAGCCTACTTAAAAAAATTCTGTATGTTTTAAAAGTGATGCTGCTCCTTTTAAATAAGTATTTTTTAAATTGAGGTAAAATTCACATAAAAATAACCATTGTAAAGTGTACAATTCAGTGGCATTTAGTATATTTACAATGTTTTGCGATCATCATGTCTATCGAGTTCCAAAACATTTTCATCACCCCAAAGAGAAGCCCTATACCCATTAAGCAGTCATTCCCTATTTCCCTCTCCTTTTAGCCCCTGTCAACTACTAATTTGCTTTCTGTCTCTATGGGCTTACCAGTTTTGGATATTTTATGTAAATGGAATCGAATAATAATGTGGCCTTTTGTGTCTGACTTCTTTCACTTAGCATAATATTTTGAGAGTCTTCCATGCTGTAGCATGTATCAGTACTTCCATTTCTTTTTATGGCTGAATAATATTCCATTGTATGCATATACCACATTTGTTCATCCATTTGTCAGTTGATGGACTTTTTTGTTGTTTCCCTTTGGCTATTGTGAATAGTGCTGCTATGAATGTTCGTGTGCTGCTCTGAAGTGTTTGTTTGAAGACCTGTTTTTAGTTCTCTTGTGCGTATACCCAGGAGTGGAATTTCTGGGTTATATGGTAATGCTATGTTTAACTTTTTGAGGAACTGACAAACTTTTCCACAGTGGCTGATCAGCTTATGTTTTACCAGCAATGTACGAGGGTGCCAATTTCTCTACATCATTGCCAATGCTTGTTATTTTCTGGGTTTTTTTTTAATTATTAATTTTTTTTTTTTAATATAGCCATCCTAGTGGGTGTGAAGTGGTATCTCATTGTGGTTTTGATTTTGCATTTCCTTAATGACTAATGATGTTGAGCATCTTTTCATGTGTTTGTTGGCCATTTGTATACCTTCTTTGGAGAATTCTCTTCAGATGCTGTGGCCATTTTTAAATTGGATTGTTTGTCTTTTTGTTGCTCCGTTGTAAGACTTCTTTATATAGTCTAGAAACTAGACCCGTATGAGATGTATGATTTGCAAATATTTTCCCCCATTCCGTACATTGTATTTTCACTTTCTTGCTAGTGTTCTTTGATGCATGAAAGTTTTTGTTTTTGATGAAGTCCAATTTTTTTCTTTTGTTGCTTGTGCTTTTGGCATCATTAAATACGTTTTTGAAGAAAATGTATGACTGATGGGTGATAAAAGGGATTTTGAGCTGATTTTTATATTTGGTTTTCCCTTCCCAAACTAATTCCACCATTCCTTATAGGAGTCCAGGCATGATAAAGAAAAGATAGAAAAGAAAGAGAAACGGGACAGTTCAGGAGGAAAGGAAGAGAAGAAACAATATCCTTTTCATCTTATTGGAGTTTTTAATCAGTGTAATGGAAAGCTTTGATACTGGTCATGTTCAGAATTGTACCCTTGTAGTATGTGGTCTGAATAAAGTTTAAGGGCTTACTAGCTTTTAAATAGTCTCTTCAGTTAACCCTCTCAAATGTACGAAATGTGGAAGTGGGAGACTTGATATATTTTTTTTTTTTAACTTCTGTGGTGACTGTGAGGTTGTTTTATGCCGTCAAGGGATTTAGATTCTCTCTGGTCGTATTACTACTGAGAGGAAGAAAGGGAACAGAGTGCCTTGGGCTGGGGGCATGGGGATTAGAAGGGCAAGATGATGCAGCAGATGAGCAGAGCTGGTAGAAGTTGAGGCTACCAGGCTGGTCGGAGCCAATTAGGCCTGCAAGCTGAAGGACTGCACTAAAAAGTTGAGACACCATTCCTTTTTTTTTTTTCAAAGTTGTTTTCCCTTAATTTGTCATCTACTCATAAGTCCTCGGACAAGCACAGATAATGAAGACTTTCAATCAAGGTGAGTGTTTTCTCACCTCCTTTCATTAAAGATAGAAATATGAAATGAGGTCTGATAATGTTGGAGAAACTAGATACATTTTGCAAGATGCAACTTGAATTTGCACCTAACTCTAATGACCAGGTCTTTGGGTACAGATGCAAAACAAGATTCACAGTTACTTTTAAGCTGCTTTCATCTTAAGCTTGCTGATTAGCCACGCAGTTTTGTTTTTGTTTTTGTTTTTTTTAAGCACCAAGATGTATTTAAGAACATCTGGCTTTCTCTTCACCACTCATTCCCAACTTCTCTGGATAATTAATCACCTTTTTTAAAGTACCTATAGCCTTGTGGGTGGTGCTGGTATCTGCACTTTACAGGTGAAGAACCTGAGACTCTGAGGGGTTAAGTTGAAGAGGCTAGCAGAGATACTAGCTGACAGAGCCAGTATTCACAGCATAGGTTTTCTTGCCCTTTAGTGTTCTCTGTTCTTCTTTTTGCCTTTTCATGCAGATGTGTTATCCAGAAATTTTTGTTCTAAGTTTTTATGCCTTATTTTCTACCACAGCCCATGTTTTGCAAGGCCAGAAAATAGGGTCTGTGCTTTTCGTTCTGGAATTTAAAATATGCAACTTAGTTTTCAAGGTAATTGTGCCTTGTATGAGATTTAAAAAGTGTTTAACCATCTTAAATAAATTGTATGTGGACAGTAGTTCACTCTGTCTTAGTGAAGAGAGTGTTCAGAACTTAAGATAGTCTTTTTTGAGTACTCAGATCATCATCTGAATAGCTCTTGTTTGGTGATGCTTTAGGATTATTGAGATTTGTAGGATGATTTGCCCTCTACATTTAATTGTTTGAGATGGCCGTATTTGAAGTTGTCAACTCTTTTGTAGCCCATTTTCTTGCTTCCATTATAGCTGTCATTTCTTAATGATATCAAGTATACTTGCAATGATATCAAGTATACTTGCTGTCTCTACCCTCCCCCTAATATTATTTGCTGCTGCTTTTATGAAACCAGAGAGATAACCAAGACTGTTTATGGTTGTTTAAATTAAGAGTCAGAAATGTATGAGAGCCTGTTCTGTATAAGGTATGAGTTTTAGGGCATGGATTTTGTCCCATTTAGTTTGGCTGCAGAGCAGGGACTTGAATTTGCCAGCTGGGTAATATCCTAACAAGTGGTGTGTGCCTTGCTTTGTTATTCTCTGCTTGTTATCTAAGTAGTAGAATAGGCTAAATGAGAGTTATGAGAGAACATTTAGAATTTATTAGATTTTCTTGAAAACCTTTAGAAAGATTGCCCATTCCTCAGTTGTAGTCATCCCCTGCCCCAACAACTAACTAGCTGTCTTCCCTAGCTAACTATAAACTCATCTTTTTTTATGCTTCACTTTACTCTTTTCTTTTGGCATTTTGCTTTTTACTTCTTGCTTTCACATGGTCTCCTTATTAAAGAAAACAAAAAAACCTACCACTTATCTCTTCATTAGGTATGGGTCAACCTTTGTGACTGACCACTTTAATGTGATTTTATATATATTCTCTTTACTCAGTACCTAAATATTATTCTTTGGTATGTGAAGGTTTTACTACAGATTTCTTTGAGTTCTTATTCACACAGGCCATGGTTTTGTACTTTACCTCTCTCTATAAGCTTTCAGGACCAAAGGCATGAAAAGACTGATTTGGGTGTTAGATGTTAGGTCGGTGGTCTTATAGCAAACCTTCTCAGTTCAGATATCCTTTTAAGATATATTTGGCTTGATGTTCATCCTGTTCACTTTCTTCTTGACAACTATGTACTGTACTTTCTCCTTGGGTAAACTCTTAATTTTGTGAGGCTCTGGTTGATTTTTTCCTTCTGGCTGTGCTGGCTGCCTCCTTCTATTTGGATACATTCTAGGATTAGTCAGGTCTTTCTTTTGTTCTTCCTTGTCCTTTAGAAGTCTCATCATTTCTGATTGGCACCATTTACCTTTAGGCTCCTTCAAATCTGCAGCTCTCTGCTCCCTTTTTTAGTTATTTTACGTTCTACAGAAAAGAGAGCTGCTGTATAATGTCACATTTCCATGATTCAAAGATGTTATTGTTAAGATTCATTGTTGGTTTCTAGAACTATTTTTTGAGCAGAGTGGATAGGGAAATGACATTGATTTGTAAATATCACCCTGATTTCAGGAAAATTAAAATGATCACATTAGAGGTAAGAAAATACAATGTGTAAATGTGACCCAGATTAAATTGCTTCCGAAGTCTTCTGTCGTCTTTTCCTATCTCATGATTTTTAGTTGTAAAATCCTTTCTCCTTGTTCTCTGTATCTTCTGTTACTTGTTATTGCTAATGTTTTTGTCCAAATTCATCTTATCTTTCCTTGATTTAGTCTCTTGAACACTACTAGTTGCTTTGCCTTTAACTTTTTCCCCTAGTTTAATCTCTAAAAACTCCTGCCTATTAAAAATTTTTTCTTAGAACCAGGTTCCTTTAGCTTCTCAATTTTAATTTGATATGTGTGAGCCTCAGTTCGTGAGTGTCAGGGTTAACTAACTTTTGAGAGTCCTTTTGTGAACCAGATGCCATACTGAGACTTGCTCCCAGACTTTGAGAGGCTCAGTCTTCTTGGACTTTGATTCTTGATTTTGAAGAATATTAGCAGTTAAGCTCTATCCTACCCATCTGTATTTGTAGTATACTACATTCCTGTTCTAATCCTCCACTCCAACGAGGCCTGATCTGTTTTGCAGGTTCTTCTCTCACCTCCAGTATCATAGGTGTAACCTAACTCTTTTATCCTTTAAACCACACTCTGCCCAAGGGCAAATTCTTAGCCCTTGGGCAGAATGTGCCTTGTTATATGTACTTCCTTGGCCTCACACAATATTTAACTTTATTTTAATCGATATGATAAAATCCAAATTTCAGTTTCTCTTGAAGAATTGGAACATCTGGCAACATTGTGTCCTGATTTCTGCATGGCAACAATCAGCTGGGCCCCCTAGGTGCTGCCCCCCCCTTATATAGAGAGTGGGTCTTTTTTTTTTTTTTTTTATAGTTTACCTCAATCAGTCCCCACCCCACTTCATTTATTTCCATTATATGCTAGCGTCTGTAAACAATTGATTTTGTAATTCCTGTCCTGAGCCTTTTTTCTCCAGTCCATACTTGGGAACTGACCTCCTAAGTGCTCAAAGATTGTTTATTTTAGGAATGTGTCGCCATGGTGAAGCACAGTCCTAGGTCCTGGTAATATTTGTTGGAGTGGGGAGTGTTCAGTTAGGTTTCTTTTTTGGTTTCCCATTGCTTATGTGTGGGCATGTCTGCTTGCCTACAGAGTCTTAGTCACAGATTCCTGTGTAATATATGAGTATGTTACATATCCCTCTCCTTAGATTGTGATCTTGTTGAAGACAGTGACTTCATCCTTCTAATCAAGCAACCAGGTATTTTTCTCTATTGCCTGCTGTGTTTCAGATACTCTGTTAACTCTACAGGGAGAGCTATGTGCAGAAGTATTATGTATATCTCTGGGATTGATGAGAAAGAGCACTGGACTTTTTTTTGCCCTCAAAAGAAGGTTCACTTTATAGCATTTGGTAGTATCCTGTTTAAGAAGAGGTTGCTTTGTGTGCTACAACATATTTTTGAGGGCAGGTTTATTATGCTTTCATTTTGGTCTGTATGTAGTAATCATTAAATGTGTTCGAAAATTTTGTTAGGAGATTGAAATGATAGACACAAACTATTTTTCTCTTCATTACCATCATTTATACTCTTTAGTGGGTGTGCATTCTTTGCACTGATATTCATAGGTACCAAAAAGTTGGACAGAATAGGAGGAATTTTCTATTTTCTTTTTCTCACGTAGGGTAGACCAAATATTCAGTAGGTGCTTTATTGGGACATAGGCCTAGAAAAGGGCTCCCATGCCACATTTACCCCTGAGTGTGACTATCCCTTATACATGCTTTTATCCTAAGAGGCACCCCTGTGTGTGCTAAGATTCAGTTCAACAGAATTCCAGTTTTAATTCTGTGTCACATTTATCTACACGGAACATCTCAGGAAGAATGTTTGCTATGATATGAATTCCTAGGTAGCAGTAGTATGAGGAGAGTAAATGAAGGAGTAAAGTGGAATTAAGATGGCTGTCCCTATGTCTTTCTCCTATATCTTCTTCTTCCTCATAAATGTTCATTTGACTTTTTAACTGTCAGCTTCATCCATATATGCTTTTCTACTGTGTGTGTGTGTGTGTGTGTGAAATAGGATCACAAAATCCTGATAAATCAGCTTCAGAAACTGGTGAAAATGAAGCGAACCAAATTCTCAGATGCCTCCTTTGAGGTGAAGACACTTAACCCAAAACAATCTTATTAATTCTGTGGGCCTGTGTTTTATAGTTTCTCTAAAAAAAATTCTGTTGCCCTCAAGCAGGCTCCTTTATGAGGAATCCGTGTACTATTGAAACATTTCTTCGGGTCTTTTTGGTGAATTTGATCATAAAATTTGTGTGTGTGTGTGTGTGTGTTTATAAGGGCATACCTTGGATAAGAAGGCTGAATTTATATTTACCTTTCTTCTCCACTTTGATCACCAGTCTAGCTGTTCTTTTCTCAAGACCACTCTACTATTCAGACTTGCTTCTTGCTGTCACAACTCTCTATAAAGTAACATCATTTAAAACCAGCTCCTCAGCTCTGAGAGCATGCTCTTCGAGGGCATTTCATGCATAGTTTTCTGATGCCCAGGAGGAGGGTGTGGTGGAACCTAGGGAAGTTGCAACCTTACTAATACAGCAGGGCCTATTTCTGGGGGTGTTGGGGGGAGGGAAGAAAATACCTCAGGATGTCCTGTCCAGATAATACCCAGTAGAAAGTGATGTTTACAAAGGTAATCTTGTCTTTCTGCAAACACAGTATTACCAGTGCAGTCAATAGCACCGATAGAATAGAGATGTCTAGGATGGAGGACAGCCAGCTCTGGACCCAGCCTGAAGTAGAAACCCTGTGAAAAACATCAGCAGTCCTAGGTGTGAAAAAGATAGATCTGTGTTATCTCTTGCATTTAGCGCCTGTGCTTTGTTATTTACAAACATTAAAGTGGCACATATTTTTTAAAAAATAAAAAAACCAATAACCTTAGGAGAATGTTCCAGGTAATGTGGTATAAATGCATTGTTAATGAGAAGAAAATATTACTCTGCTGGAAGATAAGAGTCCTGAAGGCTGAGTTTGGCACTGTTTCATCACCATATGACTTTTCTTCTTGATGGCAGTTCTTTCTGAAGTTCACTGAACTTGGGGCCGTTTTCAAGTTTGTAATCCCAACACTTCAACACTGTATTGATAAATACGCTCTGGACACTGCTGAGAGACTGACATCCAGTATCTTCTTTCCACTTGCTCTTGTGCTTGCTGATTTGTCATTCCAGGGTATGGACAGACCCCTAAGCTGAAGGTCTCCCAGAGGAGGATGCCAAAGCTCCATACGTCACTCTCAGAACGATATCTCCCATAATTAAGAGCTTCTGGTGCTGTCCATTTAATGGGAATCTGCTTTAAGTCAGAAGATGAATACACACCACCATCCTCTTGACGAGACATTCCAAAGTCACTGATTTTCAGAACATTATTTTCACCTCCAGGCAGTTTCTTGCAGCAAGGTCCCTGTGTATACAATTTTTACTCGAGATTCGCCATCCAGAAGCAGCATCTAATGAAAATTTCACTAACTGTTTTAGTTCATCCTTCTTTCTCAGAAAGGAGAGGAAATCGCCTCCTGGAACCAGTTCCTTAATGATATAGATAGGCTGTATTTGTGTGCGAACTCCTATAAGTTTGACAATATCGGGATGATTATATTGCTTGAGGATTTTGGCTTCTTGTAAAAATTTTAATTTCAGTTCCTGGGAAAGATCATCTTTACATGTTTTAATGGCAACAGCAGTTTTATCCTTTAATGTGCCCTTAAATATGTCAGCAAAAGTTCCCTTGCCCAGTAATTCTCCTACTGTGACATCATCATGATTGAGACCCCCATTTCTTTTTCTAGTTATGGCCATACTGATACCATGCTACTCTTTATTGCAACACTTTTTTTTTTTTTTTTTTTGCAATTTAAAAAATTGAGATAAAATTTACATAACATAAAATTTGCCATTTTAAAGTGGTTTTTAGTATATTCACTATGTTGTAGCCATCACCACTAATTCCAGAACATTTCCATCATCCCCAGAAGAGACCCCATACCCGTTAGCAGTCACTCCCAATTCTCCCCTTCCCCGCCCCTGGAAACAGCTAATGTACTTTCTGTCTCTATGGATTTGCCTGTTTTGGACACTTCATAAAAATGGAATCATGCAATATGTGGCCTTTTGTGTCTGGCTTCTTTCACTTAGCATCATGTTTTCAAGGCTCATCCATGTTGTAGCATGTATCAGAACTTCATTTCTTTTTATAACTGAATAATGCTCCATTGTATGAATGTGTACCACATTTTGTTTATCCATTCATCAGTGATGGACAGGAACAATGATTTTTAAGTATTAAAATTGTAAGTTCAACATTAGTGTATCCACAATTATAATTGGTAATGTCAAGGTTATACATGGTGTGAACAGAATGCTGTATAGAAATGATGTGTAAATTATTTGTCAGCATTTCATGCAAGTGTGATTACTTTCCAAGGCCCTTCTAGCTCTGGTTTTATGAAATATGTGAATGTAGTATTTTCGTCAATAAAGTTTAATGCTTTAAGCATTAGTTTAAAATTTGAGAACAATGTTAGGCAGATATGAAGTTATTTGCCACATGTTGTAATGATCATGTTTTGAATTTATTTCAATATGCAGTATTTGAAAATGTCAGTACATAAAGGAAAGGAAATGAGTATAGTTAAGTCAATATATTTTTAAAGCAATTTTTATAATTTAGCAGACATTGCATCTTAATATAAGTCACTATTAAAATCGTGTCCTTGTGAAAAATGTGATGTCATTTTTCTTTTTTTTGTTGATCATGTAAAATCGGTTCCTTTTCATTGCTCTGTGTTCTGTTTACTTTTGACAAGCTATTGCTTGCCCCTGTGGAATATTTTCTTGTTTCTATTTAATTTTATCCTCTCTCCCCTCCCCTGACTTCTCCCTCTCTCACAAACAAAATATTCAGCGTTTTTTTTTTTTTTTAAACTTCTCATAGTGTGCCTATCTTTAATGGTTTCTGAGAGGGGGAAGTGATGAGAAATACACAAATATTTCATTCTTATCTAGGGACTTATTAATTCAAGCCTTTGTTATTGACAGAACTCATTGATTTTTCTTTGTTTCGTAAATCTTCCTTCTTTCCTTCCTTCTTGTTTTCCTCCTTTCCTCCTCCTTCATTTCTTTTCTCCCTCCCTCCCTCCCTTCCCTCCTTTGTTTCTCCTTGCCCCCCTCTGCCCCTTTTTTTCCATCCATCCCCCCTTCCCTTTCTTCTCCCTGCCTCCTTCCTTCTCTTTTTCCTTTCTTATCTATCAATATAATCACTTTGTTTCTTTCAGGTGAGATTGGAATGAAATTGTTCAGCCGTGACCAGAAATTTATTTTCCTGAGTAGATTGCCGAGAATTATGAATCAAGAGGGCCCATTTGCATCTTCTTAAGTTATTCAGTTATCTGCTTTATTGCTCCATGCCGAAAACTTAAAATTGTTGAGTTGTGCATTACTGTATTTAACTTGTTGCTTAGTTTCTACATGTTTATTTTCAGTAAATGGCTGAAAGTGTTAACTGTTCCATATTTTTAGCACAATGTGCTGCATACAGTTCCCAACAAGCGAATAAGGTTACATGTGTACAGAATTTCACTTTAGGTTAACTAAATATTGCCTGGGTTTAGTTGGGGTTTTTTTGTTTGTTTTTTTTTTCCCCAATCTGAAATGCTTCCTTTTTATTGTTTGAAACTGAAAATAAACAATTATTGAACCATTTTGAATTTACCTCGTTTTAAAACTCAGTTTTAATTTATTATTTGGCTTGTTTTTAATATTAGTCACTAAAAACAAAGTGGGAGCAGTGTCTTATGCAATGCTTAGAAATCATTTTATATAGTACGTGTACAACATTAAAACCTGTTTAAAAAAGAAAAAGGTACCAGCACTCACTTGTCCCTTGCCATTTTTTCTTGTAATTATGTCAGACAAATCGGGTGGGAAAACCGAAAGTTAATTGTGTTTTAATTCTACAGCTACAGGAGCTTTGTATTGCTGAACTTTCGTCTGGAAAAGTTTCACAGTGACATTTTTAAAAGAAAATTTTTTTATCTACTGAATTCTACCAGTGTAACCTTTTTTCTAAATAAACAATAGTTTTCTCAAATGATTGTATATCATTGTGTATACTGTTGCTTATTCTCAATAACTTAGTAAAGATAATTCAGTAAGGCTCCTAGCCCTTTCTTTTCTTTTCTGTCCTAGTCCATGGTCTACAGTGTTTTCATATGATATCCAATAATATGAAAAAATCTTATTTGCTCACCTCTGCACCTGGGGTAAACAGTGGACTGAAACCATGCCTAAAATTATCCATTTACTCTTTAATTCTTTGGAACTGATGATACGTATGCAAATTAATTTTTTTTTTTTTTAGAGAATGACAAGGCTCTAATTTTTTAAAGGATTGAGAAATGCTGAGCACATTTGAGAATTGGCAAAGGGATATAAATCTTGATGCCCCTTTTCAGGTAATTGTAATTTGCAAAAATTGATGAGCACAATAATTATGGGAGAATGATCCATTCAGTGACTATTGAGCACCCATAATGTGCCTGGCATAAAAAGAAATTATGCATTGTTAAAATGATTTTGACATTGAGAAAATAGCTCTGGTTCACCTCAGAATCATTTGTCTGAAACATAGGGAGGAGCTCTCCAGTTATGTTGCATTCACATTTTAAAGAATACATAATTGTGAATTTGAACTAGAAAGTTCACTACTTGCTTAGGCTCTCTTCTTGTCCCTCAAATTATTGAACATAGGTGAGCTTTGGTCATATCCTTGCTAGAAATGAATTGAGGATGGAAAATACTAACTTTGGATTTAACTGTGCAAAAATAATTTATGTTGGAAGTAGGAAATCTGTATTTGTGTAGTGGTAGCTATTTTTTTTTTTAAAGATTTTATTTATTTATTTGAGAGCGAGAGAATGAGAGACAGAGAGCACGAGAGGGAAGAGGGTCAGAGGGAGAAGAAGACTCCCTGCCGAGCAGGGAGCCCGATGCGGGACTCAATCCCGGGACTCCAGGATCATGACCTGAGCCGAAGGCAGTCGCTTAACCAACTGAGCCACCCAGGCGCCCAGTGGTAGCTATTTTTAAGCATCTACTCTGTTCTAGGTACAAAGGAGTATTAAGACCCAACTCCTGTACCTAGGGTGCTTCCAATCTAGTTTGAGAAATAAGGGCCAAATGAGTGCTATTGGGGGTAAGCAAACTATTTCTGTAAAGGGCCAGATAGTAAATATTTAAGACTTTACGGGCTGTGTATACCCTGTTGCAACTCCTTGGCTCTGCCATTATAGCATGAAAGGAGCCATAGGTGATATGTAAATGAGTAAGCATGACTGAGTTCTAGTAGAATTTCATTTACAAAAACTGGCTATAGAGCCTCCTATAGAAGATTTATTTAAAAAATATTTGAGTGCCTCTTATGCACCAGAGGTACACCAGAGGTATATAGCCTTGAGCACAACAAAGTCCCTGCTACCCTCATGTTACTTCCATTCTAGTCAATGGAGGCAAACAAATAATGTTGGATGGAGGGAGGTCCTCCGAGGAAATCTAAACCTAGGTGATGCAGGGCTTACTGCTCTGTATATAGAGGGATCATGTGGAGTGAAGAGGTGCAAAGCAGTATATTTTGAGGCAGTTATCACACTATGAATATTACTAAGTAATATGAGCAGGTGTCATCCTAACCCTTCCCCCCAGAATCTTTGAACGTTTTACATGAAAATCATGTAATATGCAGGATTTCTCTCTCAGGAACTAGGCTCTAAGCTGTATTGACTGGTGTCTTAAGCTTGCCATCTTTTAGAAAGGAGTTCTTACCTTTAGGCTCATAAATGGAGAATATCTACAGGACCCACCCCCCCCTTAACTAAATATTGCCTGGGTTTAGTTGGGGTTTTTTT